AATTGGCCGACTAAGGGGACATGGCTCCCTGTGTTGCTGATGACAGCAACAACAAATTACAACAAGCGATCTGGGGGCGATAGGAGGTAGCTCTATGGCCATAAAAATCGTTAAACGGCAAACGGTTAAGCCCCGAAACTTGAAGCACGAATGGAACCCCGTTCAGGTCAGAGAAAACTCACTTCATAATCATCATCGCCACTAAGCTCCTGCTTAATTCCCTTTTCCGCCTCTAGAAAGTTGCATAAATCTGTGAAATTACCCAAACACTCGAGGAGCTTAACGCAGTCGGTTGGATAATGCTGAAAATTTTCACGGGGCGGTGGGGTGGCAGGCGAGGGAGGAAAAGTTAACCGCAAAGCGAAAATTTTCGGCAACGAAGAAAGCGTCGTAAAAACCATTTAACAACCGAATAAGCAACCGCAAAAACAGAATGACATCGTCTGGCTTTTCCACGTACACTTCTCCACTCTACGCCCCCTTTAGTCCCCGCCCTTGGTCCACTTCTTCGCATCGGAAATGAAGCCGCCGAAGCGGCTGGAACAAAAACGCGAGAAATCCTAAGGCCGAAACGAATCCGGCAATACCTCTGGCTGATCGGGGGGCTATATTTTGCTTGATGGATTCCGAAGGGTGTACTTCCTGCCCCAAGGGGGGAGTAGGGGACTAGGGGAATAGGAGTATGGGTATCCGTCTCGCCATTTTGTCTCTGTGGACTTTTGCGCTCACACCAAAAGCCAACGGCTTTTTCATGGCCTATCAACGAACGTCTAATGCCGGCAATTAAAATAAACGGCAACAAAGCGAAATCCTGCCTGAGGCAAGGCCAGGCTTCCTCTTCCTCTCCTCCGAGAGATGCCAGGATCGCAGAGAGAGTCCTCGCCGAGGGGGCGTCTTGCAAACGCCTTCAAGCTGCTAGAAAATGTGCGTTTAATGAAATTTTTATTCAATCAAAGCACAGCAACTTTTATGGCAGCACAGACACTGGCTGAAAGGGGAAATGCCTCAACGCGGGATGCCTGAGGGGGGGGGGGGGGGAACCGTAGGAACCTGTTGAGTCGAGTTTATGATAAAGTGGCCTCTTTCCCTGGCTCTGCCCTGGCCAATGGCTGTGTGCGAAGTGTTTTGCTTTTACAGCCTCAATTTATCTTCCACTCTCGGTGCCACGAAACGCGTCGAGTGGTGCCATGGAGGGATTTGGCTTGCGCCAGTTGATGTTTGTTCAGTTTTGGGTCATAGAAATTGACAGAGTTAAAGGATATAGACAGATGGCAGTGCAGACGGCGAGGCTCCAACGTTTAAAGAGTGTAAAGAGTGGCAGATTTAATTTGGATAAGAATTTCTTAAGGATTTACACCATTCCATCAATCCTGAGGCGATTTGCTGAGGAATATCGTATTGTTTGCACACATAAATAGTCGTAGCTCTAAATATTCCTTCTGCCCCACATAATCCAACCAACATCCCATATACGAGCATGTATGTATCTGCCTTTAAAACCTATCTCGCTCTCTGTTCTTGAACCACATTCATTTGGTAGTGAAAGTAGGTAAAACAAACTCATGAATATCATTAGCAGTATACGTAGAAGTGGGCGTAGCCTCCTCCTCTAATGCCCCACTTATACGGGCCTCCTTGGTGGAACTAGTGTACTTTTCCTAAGCCCCCAGGCCGCCTTCGGCTGTAATTAAGCGTCTGCGGCGTGAAAAGAGACTCAAAGGAAACCAGGAACACCGCAGCCGGCAGTTGCAGAAAGCGAAGGCCCTCCCACTCTCCTGGGCGGACAGGTGTCCGCATTTCATTTGCATAGATTAGACAGATTAGGGCGGCAGCTTGGATTTCCTGGGCCGGTGGCCACCAAAAGCTGTACGCCTCTCGATCCAACACAATTTTTGCTTAATTAAAAAGTTTTTCAAAATTAATTTACATAAATTTCATTTGTGCTGAAATCCGTGCAAATGAATTTCCTTTTAATTGAGCAACACCTGAGGGTCCTTTCGCGTCCTTTCTTCCATCCTTCCTGCCTTGCAGACAGCAGCAACAATTGGGCAAAAGCTTAGCGTCCAAAAAAACCGAAACAGAGCTTTAAGTCGGCGGAAAAACCTTTTTGGCGGGTTACCCCAGTGGTTTCCCTTTTTCCTTCTGCCAAATATTGATCGGATTGGTGAAAAGGCGGCAAACCGCACCAGGGTGGGGGACGCTGGGCGGTGAAAGGTGAGCGGTGAGCGGTGAGCGCTGAGTGGGTGCGCCGCTGTCTATCCAAATTCAAGTTTTTTTTGCCCGTGGCCCGAGCCCCATGTGGGTCAAGCAAATCAATTGACAGCTGAACCGAACTTGAGCGAGGACAACGCCAATCTTTGTGTGTGTGTGTGTGGAGAGTATCTGTGTGCCGTCACCTGGTTTGCTTCTATAAATAAATCATTGCTTATGATAATATGCCACACACACACACACAGGCACACAAAGGAACTGACACACAAATGCTGATTAGATACAGGACGAACCGCAGAAGGACCAAAAACAACAACAGCCACAAAACACTTCAAGTCGCAGACAGCATTTGACTTTATTCAAGGATACTTCGGGCCCATACGCTTCTGACTTTTGCACCCACTCTTTTGAGGCCCTTATACTCGGCAAGTGAAATGCTACGACAGCAGACCATTGGAGACCAACAGACCTAGAGGAGGGTAGGGATATGCGCGCTGTAGGTCCTGGTGCTGGGCATCCGGTAGTCGACCACAACATTCGTGATGTTCCGACGCCGCCACTCTCTGCTGCTCCCGCTGCTCGTTCCATCATCATAAAACTTGGCATATTGTAGCGTCACCGAAGAGGGAAAAAAACCGTGTATTTTGAAAGCGTTGCGCTACGTTTGGGCCATGTCCCATGTCCCATGACGTGGTGGGGATGTTTGCATTGAGCGAGGGATTGTTTGCGGACCCCGACAGTTTTTCGGGGGGACCGAAGATTAATTGCATTTCGCAGTTGTTGCAGAATCACGAGTTGTTGTTGCTGTTGCGCGTTGCATTTGCCAAATGGGTTTGGCCATTGATGTAATTACCAATCGAAATGAGGAAGGAGACTGTTAAAGGTGCAAAGAAACTACTTATAACGAAAATAGGTCAGAGGTCAGCTGAAATGAGCTAATGGAATGCCTATAAATGTCTAAAAGACTCCTTTTGAATGTTTTTTAGTCTTTAAATGGTTCTGGAATCCCTTCCTAATCATCTAGTGCCCAGAAATATCGCAATTCCCTGCCAAACCATTCGAAAAATCAAGAACTATAAAGTACATAATGTAGTATGTGAGGATCCGTCCCCAGATGTGTCTCTTGAGCGAACACCTTTCGTGTGGCACCTACTAGAACCGAGAGGAGGAGGTTTTGCATTCGAAGAGAATTTTCTTGAGATTATTTTCCCCCCAGTGCTCACACTCAGTTGCAATCTTCTCATGTGAATAATAAGCACCCTCAATGCAAAGCCATTCATCAGCAGAAATACCACAGATGCCAAAGATGCGCATATCTTGCAGATAGATTCACTTTCGAATATACATACATACATAGTAGCCACATAGCTCATGAGCAATGGGTAAAACCTTCCATTCATTTGCACGGATCGACACATTAATAAAATGCCTAAATGATGCTCGTCACAAGTTCTAGATATTGTGGGCGGCTGCTGTCAGCAGTGGGGCTCATAAAATCGGGTCATATAGAACGGACAATGGGAACGGAATGGGGAAACACTACCATAAACAACAAAACACAAAAGACCGAGAGAGAGAGGGAGAGGGAGAGAGGGAGAGTGAAACAGCAGCGAAACAAAGGAAACAGAAAAACACAGAGAGGGAGGATAACTTTGGGTATGGGGCCGTTTGATACCCCTTCTAGTAAGAGCTAATGATATAGCGATTCGATGAAACTCTAAAAAAAAACGGCTATCTGTATTAACAGAAACTTTCAAGTTTTTCCCATAAATATTTGAGTTATACCGACTTTTCTATGGCAGATTTAGGAAATCTATAAATCTAAGCCGACTGCCTGGAAAAGGAAGATTCTGTGCCAAATTAAAGGGCTTTTTAGGATATTTCCACATAGATTTACAGATAGATATTCATCAATCGACACTTTTGATCCTGTTCAGGAATACTCGTATGCTTTTCAGAACTTTGGAGCACAACTAAAATAACCAACTCTTTGGAAATAGGGTATATCTGTTACAAGGCGCAAAAACGGAATGCAATCCCCAAAGCGCCTTCTATTGCCTCCCACAAAACGCCCTCCCACCCTCTCTCTCTCTCTCGCTCTCTCTCTCTTGCCTTTTTCTGCTCCATTGAGGCTGGGCAGTGGGAAACGAAACGAAAGGAAAGGAAATGAACTCAACAAACACACACTGGGGGGAGGGGAGGATAGGGAGAGACACTAAAGATAAACAAGGCAAAGTCGTAAAGAAAAAATTCAAACAAATCAAATGGCCAGAAAGCAGGCCAGAGAGAGAGAGAGAGAGAGAGCAAAGTGCACGTAAAAGCTCTCAGTGACGTTGCAGAGCTTTTCCGTGTCGTCACAGGCGAAAGCACCGCAACGAAAGCCGAAAGGAAAACATTTCGCCGACACGATTCGAATCGAATCAAACACTCGACGGCTCTGCTCTGGCACGGATCGGACGGGAAAACTGCGCCACATTTCCGCGAAACGGCAAGAGTTTGACGAGACTTTGGTTTTTGGAAAACGTTAGATTTTGGAAAACCCCCCTCCAAAAAATATAAGTTGGAAAATTTAACTATAGAAATACCCATATACACGCTTGCAGACCCGTTAATAAATTCATAATACAACCAGTGGAAAATATCTAAAAGATTTAGTACAGTGTGTTCTATAAATAACCAACAAAATACATGCATATGAGAGAAAGAAAGTGAACAAGTGCAAAAATTATCTCATTATCGAAGTATATATGGATAGATATTGTATCTAGTCTGGTATCTACATATATAAAAAGTGTGCCGCCCTTTTTTATACAAATTATCGATCAAATACATAAGTTCCCCGACGTCAGAACCATATCGCGAGAGCATAAACTCTTCTAATTGTGGGGTTTTTAGTTTGGCGATTGCTCGGATGGATGTGCCCATAATATTGACCAACAAAGCGAGGACGTTGCCATTTGCAGCTCATTAAAGGACACGGACGCGGCGGCAGCAGGGGCATACGTCGGTGGAGGTGTTGACTGGGGAAAGAAAGGTATGTTTTGATTAGTTTAATCGCCTAATTGCAGTGTCGTGACCCATAAAGATACTACAGAACATGATGTATGAACCGCAGGCCCTTAAAGGAGTAATTCGTTCATCGCCTGCCGGCGTATGCGCGGTCTCGTGTGCCTTGGCACTTTCCCCATTTCCTGCCACACTTCGATTTGTTTACTGTAACCCCACCTTTGGCGGCCCAATTCCCAATTCCATTTCCCTTCATTATCATGTGGATGGGGGATGGATAATCATTCGAAATCGCTTCTTTCTCGCTACTCATCGTAAAAGGAGCAGAAATCACTCATTCGCCCCAGTAGCCGGGACCGGGACCGGGATCTCTCGCATTGCCCATTGCCTGGGCATTAAATATGCAGTGCTGGTAAGTCGTCAGCCTCCTAACGTTTATGGCACTGTATCCGTATTCCCCGATGGGTCGGGTCCCCGCGCGAAATGGCCTCGTTTTGGCAATGGATTATTTGAGAGCGAATTCTTTAGGGTGCCATAAAGCATTCGTTGGGTTCTCTGCGGGAAATGGGCAAATAACAATCGATTCGGGGAATGTAACAAAGGATAAATGGATCTCAAAAATGCACAACAAACCTATAAAATAAAGAACAATTTAATCAGAAGTCACCATTCGATGATCTTTCAAAAGAGGGGAACCCACATATAGGTACATAAATTCCCCAAATCCAAAGGCAAAGAAATAATAGGGAGCCCTTAAGAAGTATTTAAGAAATGTCTTACTAATTTCTGAAAAAATAATGGAGCTAGTGATTAAATTGAAATGCTCATTACCATAACAATCCCATCTGCGATTCCCAGGGACAGCGGCGTATGACATTTCGCGCTCGAACCATTATGGCAAGACCAAATCAGATAATATCAAATGACTTTCCACTGGCAATCAGCAAAAATAAGCAAAAAATCGCACAAAGGGAACCAGTCATTGCTGGCAATCGGGGGAGGAGCGATACAAATCGCCACAGCAATTCCCCAGCGATCTGGTGCCTAATCAGGAGAGGACATGCCACAGACAGACAATGGGAGTCCCCTCTAACAACACTCCATTCCACCCACAAGAACCACAGCATTGTAAATGGAAATGGAAATGGGGAAAATGCTTTTACTGCAGGGCGGCACTTGGTTTTCAATCCACTGATTTTTCCGACTCCACCGCTCCCGCTCTCTCTGTCTATCTGTCCCTGCAATTGTTTTCCTGTTTGCCAATTAAACTAAAATGTCTCGTGGTGTCTGGGCCCGGCTGACACGCGACTGTTTGACCACGCCTCCCCCACGCACACTCTAGCATGCACCCTCTATATGTATGTATGTATAGCAGACCAGACAGGGGGGAGGGGGAATGCTCCTGTGCTCCTAAGGCAAATCAAATTCCCAGAAAATTCTATTCTATTGGAAGATGGTGGAAATGTAGTTGGAGAAGCTTCAAGGCTTTCAAGCGAAATGGATTGGCCAGATTGCCTTTGTGATGCATCCAACGAAAATTCTTAATTCAATTAAAATCTGCAACGACCAGAAGGAGGACCACCAGGAGACAAGGCTTAAAAGCCTCTTCCCGGCTGTTGGCTGTACCTGAAAACTGTCAAGAGAAGAGTTGGGGGTTGCAGTGCAGCGGGAGAAGGGGATGGGATGAACAAAAGCAGACTAGGACCAGGATGAGCAGGAGGAGGGGTTGAACCCAGAGCGAAGGGGCTCTGACATGACAAAAGGTTGAGCCCGGTCCGGCCAGGTCGCGCCACCAGGTACCCCACCACTTAGCCCCAAAAATTTGTTGTAGCTGACACTGTCGACCCCCGGCAACCGACTGGGGGCGCGTAGAACACGACAAGCCTCGTGTTCTGTTCCTTTGAACCAACAATGTTTGGCCAGGAGAGAGGACAGGGACAGGGACCAGGCAGAACGTGACAGAGCCCACTGCCAGTGACAATTGGTGCTGGAGCGTGGACTAGATGGCAGTGGAGTTGTGTGGATGGTACAGTACTGTATGGGAGTCAAGTGGAGCACATTTCCGGTGCCCCAAGCACTCCGCACACTAGACAGAACTAACGAAAATATTTATGCATACACTTAAAGGGCTTCCAGCAGTCCGAGCCATACCGAAACGAAACCCAAACCGCAACCGAAACCCACAAACAAACTTGGTCAAATGCAAATACATTCACTGTTGGCACAACTTTGCAGTCGTTTGTCAATTACCCAATTTCCACTACACTGGTACATTTGGGGCACAGCTCTGTTTGCTGAACTCTTCAGATCAGGGATTTCCCTTCCTTTGAAAATAGTTCCAACTGTGAGGGTCCAAAATTTCCATCGAAACAGAAGCACAGGAATGGCAGAAGGAAGATAGAGGGTTTCATTCGGGCATAAAGGAGGTGGATTGGCATCTTGAAGAGGTAATGTCTGGAAAAAATAAACCGTATCGCAGCCTACTCTGTAATAAATATCCTCTTTTCCCCTCTTATAATTATATTCAAGTCAATTTCCCTCACTTAACAGCTCACTTAACTGCCAGATCTACAAAAGGAAAAGCCAATCCCAGCAGCAGAAAAACCAATTCCCGGATTCCCGAACAAAATCGAACAAAGCCCGGAACGAGTATGTGAAATGAAATGCAGGCCAATTAGGGAGTGGAGCCAGAGGGGGAGGACCACCAGCTTAAGGACAAAGGAAAATCGTAAATTCCAGCAATTTATTTTGAGGCCCAACTGAGGCTCCCAGAGAGACATATGTACATAGAATGCTATACAGTGTATACTCGAATGCCACAGGACATTCCTTCGATAGTTAATTATGATGTGGCCCAATGGGGCACAGAGGCAGTCACACATCAAAGCGGAATGCAGGGGAATGGATGCGGCGGAGGCGGAGGAATGACAGCATTAGCTAAATGAAGTGAATTTTTGTGTAAACATCTGCGCCCGGAGGCTCTGCCGCTCGACTCTCCTCGACTTTGCGTTGATTTGAATCTAAATTGAGAATAAGAGGCGATTGAGCGGCCCCCAATGTATGGCACTGGGGCTAAACAGCCGCCAAAGGTGGCAATACAGAGATAGAGAGAGACAGCAGATACACCCACCCACCCCCATATGTATGTGTCATAATCATCGTAAGAGACGTGAAGTTTAAACTAAACAGACAGCCATTTCTCCAGCCAAAAGGAAAGAGGACGCCATTGGCGGCAGCAAGGGGGAGATTGGGGGAGACTGGAAAAGACAGAGAAAACATTAAGCCCCATAATCTGCCCTTGAGCTCGGTTTTGTGCAACGATTTGGAAAATCTTTCACAAAAATAAATTCCACAACAGATTTGCCACGTTCTGGCTGTCTCCTCCAGCCCCTGGCTCCACCTTCCCTATGGCAAGCATATTATCATCGATTTATTGAACATTAGAGAGACAAAAAAAGTCCAGGGGATCTTTTCAGCACGCAAATGAATATTTTTCATATTAATTCGACGCTAAATTATGGCAAACATATGGAAAATCTAAGACACTTGTCGAGTGATTTTCCCCAAAGATCAACTAAAATCCTATAAAATACATATAGTATATGTTGATTGTTGATCTGCCCCAACAAGCGGATTTCATCATGGGTCCTCACATATTTAAAAACATTTTCTCTATACAAATTCCTGAGACGCTGAGTGTCGTTTGTCTGAGAAAAATGCTAGATAATTTATTTAATCATTTGAATTTGTTTTCATTCGAGAACAGAAAAGAGAAAAACAAAACACCTACAAAATGCTGTCCCATTATATGTTTTGGCTGCCTCGAAGACAACGTGGCGTATGCGTAATAAAAATCTGTCATTTTCATTTAGAGCTCATTTACGTTGACACGCCGCTCAGATTGTTGTGGGGCGGTAAAACAGGATGATTATGATGGGAACTACAACGAGAACTTTGGGCAGCAAGTGTTCCCGAGGGAAATGGGGAGAAGGGGAACCAGATATGTGCGAGTATGCTTAACCCTGACCTTAAGGCCACCTGTGGGCCCCAAACATTAATTTTCGTACAGCAACAGGTGTGTGCGGCGGCTGTCAGGCGGTCATGAAAATATTCAAATGGCCAAGCAGATGATGTTCAAAGGGAAACCTTAAACAAACGGCTTCCACATCCAATGACAGCCAACGATGTCATCGCGATGGGCTTGGATATGAGGCAGAAACATGTCCATGGACACCGGTACACGGTCAAGGACATGTTCAAAGGCAGCCGCTGGCACAGCAAACAAACTGAAAACACATTGAAGGCGGGGCCGAGGCCCCAGGTCAGATTTAACAGAACATGAGACCAAAACGACTCCTGGGAACAAATGCTTTCGCCAATGCTTTAACTTTAAGCAGAAAGAAGATTACATTATTCTAAATTATTTTCCATACATTTCAATGGTAGCTATAGTTTTTGGTTAGCTGAGTTTTAAACATTCAATAGAAGCAGCACTTGGCGGACACCGAGCTGAAGAGGTCCGAGCTCCATGCTCTGTCCCTTTAAATCAATTCCGACTGCAGTCTCCCCATTCAAAGGCCTCTTCTCCCGTGCCCACTCAATGCTTCAACTTTTTCCCCCATTCAGGTGACGTTCAAGCATTGAATACACGGCCTCTCCATCCGCTCCCTGTCGTGCAGGCTCCATTCAGGGGCCATCAGGCCATACATGCGGTATCTGTTGACACTTTATCGGATCTTTTTTTAGCTGTGCCTGGGTCCCCGTGTGGGGCGGGGCTTATCGTTAACCCATGGTCGGGAGCGCACTTTAGGCCACAATTCTCCGATAGATAGCCTAAGTTGCCTGTAACCGGGCACAGCTGTCATCATCTGCGGACATGGACGGGACGGGAGCACAGCCAATGGGTGGCGTGATTAGCCGGCTTTCCGATGGAAAACAAAAGCTGTGACAAAAATTCAAGCAAAAACATTCGAGTTGGCGTCAAATTTATGTTAATAACTGGCAACAGGCGCGGCACCAATGATAACGCAGTGGAAATTGGGGGAAAATTGTGGGAAAACTTCACCATATATGCATGAGGCCATAAAACGGAACGACCTCTGGCTGTCTCTTTAGATATACTCGTAGTAGTACTTGCTCCATAAAAATACCTACGAACATTAATTGCAATGTCCAAAGCCAACATGCCACTGGATTCCTTCTGCTCGCCTGTTGGTGTGTGTGTGTAGGTCCAGTGGCCAATTAGTAGGAAACCGCAAGCAAACACACACACACACAGGGATCTAGGTATCCTTGGATTGCTGCCGCTGCTGCTGCTGAATCTGTTGTTAGTAAAAGCCCTGCGGCATCAATTGAATGCAAACAAGGCGAGGCAGGACAGGCCTCAGACCCTGAGAGACGATGAAGAGAACCAGGACCAGGACCAGGACCAGGACCACGACGACTTCATCATCATGTGGCATGAAGCTTCATGCACGACTGGACGGGTCAGCAGTACCCTTTTTTTTGGGTGGATTTTGCTCCTCGTCTCTAGTCTGCTGTGCTTTGGTAATGCATCGGTTAACAAAACGGTGGCAAATCAAGCGTGAAGTCGCATGGAAAGTTTGCCTTTTCCTTTCCCCAAGGATCCTTGCTTGACTTTAAGCGGGTTCGAGTCAAAGTAGGGGAAGGATTTCTGCGTAATCAGTCGTTTTCGGGGAGTGGACTTCATCTGGGGTGGGCTGAGAACGCTCCCAGCTCTCATATGAAGCCTCTTTTTGTCATTCAACTTGGCAAACTCTCAGGGCCAAGTCTTTTCTGCCAGTGCAGCTCAGGCTGCCGTCGCATATGGTGCCGGTGCCGGGGGAAACATTTTTCCAGTTTATGTATTTATTCTTCTTTTTGCATTATTTACTTTCGAGGGGGACTTGGCCCGATTCCTTTGTTTCGGGCAGAAGGAGCGCCGTTCGCCTCTTAACCCTTTCGTAAGAGGAATCCTTGCGGGCTTCAAGGGTGTCAACGGCTGTGGGAAAATAATGCGCGTTTATTAATTATTTATCCTTCCATTCAAAAAAGTTAATTACGCTCCAGTGATGGATCGAAAGCCCTGCAAAAACAACTGGAGGGAACTGCAAGTTCTTCACGTCATCGGCAGGCGGCAGACCCAGGAAACTCGTTTAAAACTTGCACTCAAGTGCCCACAGAGAGGGCGGAGGGAGCGCAGGGAGGGCTAGATTAGATTATGCCACAAATGCCGCAGGGGCAGGCCGGAGGTGGGAGCAAATGATGCATGTCTAAGTAGCGCGCAGGAAGTCTAAATGGATTACGAATATGTTTTGATTGGCCCGATGCCCTGCCGTCCCACCAGATCCGATGCCACGCCACTCAAAAGCGTCTCTAGTCCGACCTTCTGGCAAATTCAAATTCAATTTCAGTTTCCTTCAAAGCTGTGGCTTAGGGACCGCTAAGAGTTGATTCTGATTCGCCCACGCGATGCCAAGGGACTCAATGCTCATCCGCATTCTGCTTCTCTTCCCTGTCCCCTTGCAAATGGAAATTGGTGTCAATTAGGGACTGCAGTCACTCCTGCGGAATGAAGGAGTCGCCTCCATCCCCAGGAGATGCCCGCCGTAAGTTGCCACACTTGCAGCATTCCAGATCAAAGTTTATTTACGTTTCGAATGGGGAAATCATTTCGTAGTGGAAGATCAAAATGGGGATGATGCAAGGGCTAAATAAAAGTATTTTTAGTTTATGAGAATTACGTGGAAGCCCCAACATCGAGTGGTTCAAGCGGTGGAAGAGTTCGGAGCCCATCAGATGATTATGAAAGGGCGCTATGTGGGATGTTTAAAGTAACGACAATACTTTCGAAAAGTTATCTCTTATCGTTATACCCTGTGTTTCATGTCACACATATATCACTGCCAGATTATCCTTTGCCCCAATCCCAATCGCAAACCTCCCCAGCAAATCGAATTCCCAAACGGTTGAACCCCTTTGATGGATTTTAGATTTGTTTGTGGCGATTTGTTGGGCACCACGTCCACTGCAAAGGCGAGTGGGATTTTGTTTGGATGGCTATGGCGATGGCTGACCCACTTTCCATGAGACGAAAATAACACACTCTGCTGCTGCTGTCGGTGGCCGGAAAACAGAGAAATCTCATGTTTTAATGGCCAGCAGCGGAGCTGGCGAAATGAAATGAAAAATCACATAGCAAATTATGTTGCATGTTGTTACAAATACTCGTACCGTACATTCTGTATTTATGTATTTCTGTAGTCAGTGCCACTTTTGCTTTTTCGGTTTCGGTTTTTGGGTTATTTCTGTAAAAGAGCAACAACATTTGTCTCGAGCGAGAAACTATTTCAGAAATGTGTACTTTTGATTTGAATGATTTATTTAAATGTTTTGTTCATTTGTTTTTGCGCTTTCCACCGTTTATTTGCAGAGCACCACAAACAAATCAAACAATAATCACCACAAAACCAACCACAACCATCCAAATCTCAGATTATGAGACATGCAACAGAAAAAAATAAACATCAAGAACATCAGAACATCAGAACATCAGACCATCAAGACCAACAAGCAGAACCACAGCACGAACCACCACGAAATGCTTAGAGCACGAAAATAGAAAATTCTAGATTTGGCAAATTAGGATTTCATTTCACGAAAGCGATTCGAGGCGAAGCAAAGAGGCAGCCGCACACAGAATTTCCCCAGAGAAAAGCCACCGGGGAGCCACGAACAATAGCCACAAAACGCCAAGATGGTGGACGACATCTCCCCCATGCACCATCGCATGCAGAAGAAGACGCGCAGCGCCTCCATTTGCGCCACGGGGGCCAGCATTGAGACGGTCATCCATGGCCTGCCCTCCGCCTCCGGCAGTGCCACGCCGGAGGGCGGCACGCCCGGCTACCGCCGACGCCGGCCGGCCACACGCTCCCAGAGCGCTCGCATCACCTCGGGTGCCAGATCGGTGAGTACACGACCAGTAGTCGCAGATACATATATCTAGCCGTACATTTGTAGTTCTTATATATATCCATAGAGTATGTAAATTTAGCATTTGCTTCTGCCTGTCACTTGCTTCAGTTGTTTGCAGAATGTCTGCGCCGCATAGGACATGAATTGATTTTATATTTAAACAAATATTTAAGTAGCTGCACGTTTCGCACTTCACGTCCATGTATGTATATGTACAGGGCACTGTCGTCTTGTCCTCGAATGGCGAATATATTCCCAGTCGCAGCCACAGGAGTATCTTAGCTATTGGCTCTACAGATATGGATGGACTGGAATCATTTCTTGGAAAATAAAAAGAGCTACGACCTTAAGATACAAACAATTTAATGAAACTCATTGAACCACCTTCTAGAGTAAAGTGTTCGCCCCCTGACCTTTGGGGGTGGAGTGTGTCCCCCGAAAGGTTACAGTGTTAAGGGTTAGAGTGTGATTGTTGTTGGCCAGCCCATACTCCTTATACAGAAATATGTTATTGAGTGGTGTCGTCAGGTATTAGGATTGACTGAGGGCATTATGCACTTGATTGACCAGTTGGCGAGTGTGACGCTCGCTGATCAACTGCCTCTCGAACTTGGCACTCAGGGGATCGGACGTCGCGTTGCCAGACTCTGGTGGAGCGTCGGGATTGGGGGACAACTCAGTGTCCTGGGTAACCGACGGAGGGTTTTCCGCGGACTCTCTCATCTGAGAGGCCCTGAGTGTCATCCTGTTCACTCGTTGGTCACAACGTGCGCGCTTTGCTTGTTCCATGGCCTCCTTTTTCATGGCTGCATTCTCGATGTTGGTGTACACACGGGTCTCCGGACACTTGGGCGGCATGCGGAGACACTGGCAGTAGCTGAGATTGTACAAGAAGTACTCCTCAAAGTCCTCGTTGGGTTTCAGTAGCTTCTGGTACTCTTCCAGGCTCTCCAGATCCATGGGATCCAGTTGGCGGGCGGCGCAGTCCAGCTTCAGATGCAAGCTGAAAAAATAGTTGAACAACTCGTCCACCAGCTCGATGAAGAACTTGATGGGCTTGTGAAAGGCATCGCCCTGGATGAAGGGCGTCTGCTCCTCGAGATTCAGTTTCTTGCACTCGCGCCTGAAGGCCAGGACATACGAACGCAAGGATTCAATTTGCCGCCACAGGCTCTTGTTGGAGCTGACGATGACCTGGTAGTGTATGTAGTACTTCTGGATGGTTTCCTCCTTCGGCTCCACGGCATACAGCTGCGTGCACTTGCAGTCCGCGTCCACCTCCATGGCGATCTTGTACCGCTGGATGAGCTCCCACAGCGTCGAGGCCGCTATTGCCTGCAGCTCCATCTCCTTCTTGAAAGTATCGAAGGTGAGGCGATACTTCTTCTCCGCCGAGAGCAAAACACCCAGCACTGTTCCCTCCACGCTCTCATCCATTACGACCAGGTTGTGGAGAGCAACTTGGACGGCGCTCTCGGTGGTTGTCAAGTGCGAACCCGCACCCTGCATCACCGGAATGGATACATGCGGAGCCTTATTGTTATTGTTGCAATCCATTTTTGTTTGCTATACTTATGGGGTCTGTTGTATGTCTATTCCAGTAGTTGACGACTGAACAGTTTGATGTTCTATTCAATCGTTCCTTATCCTAGGGCTCCTTCCTACTGACGACTCCATGTGCTCGACATCTCCACATTTCAGGCGAGTGTCGACAGCTAGCGCAAGTGTGAATTGAATTATATCGTGGCCAAATTCAATTTCTGCTGCTGCCAGACAAAAGACGCCGCCGCGTGGCATACGTTGCGTATGAGTGGCGCGAAGCAGACGTCCCTTCTTGGCGCTGGTTCCCGGTCCTGCCTCTGGTCCCTGGCATTATTAGTAAGCAAACGAGGCAACAAAAAGCAACGCTTGTGCAATGTGTGTCTGTGCCAGCATCGCATCAAAGTCTGTGTCGCTTCTGATGCGCCCCAAGCTGGTAATTTATATAGAAAAAGTTTACAAGTCAGCGATGATGCTGCTGCCACACATGCTCCACGCTTTCAGCTTTCAGCTTCTGCTCCAGCTCCAGCTCCTGCCTCAACTGCTGGGTGCTGGCTGCTGGATGCTCCTGCAACTGTTCTGATGATGCTCCTGTTCCTGCCACAACTTACACGGCATGGCATGAAGGCGTTCCCCTGTTTACTGTGGGTGTGGCTGTAATGAGTTCGCAGCTAAGGAAAAAAAGCAAAGACCTCGAGCCAAAATGACTTTTGTTTATGAAGAAAAGAACGTACACACAGGACCCACAGAGATAGAGAGAGAGGGAGAGAGAGGGAGAGAGAAATGAAAGCATTTCTACAGACTAAAAAGGAACAACTTTTGAGCTCTGTCGATGCTGATAATTTGGGAGGGAATCGCAATGCATAGTACTCGCTTTTCATCTGCAGACGGACAAAGTTAAATGAGAAGATAAAGCGACAACAAACTAAAACTCGAACAGCGCTTTTTTCGTTGTTCAGCGGATTTGCTATGAACTTTGGAAGGAACAATCCGTATTAAACTAATAGTCCAACGAGAATAACAAAAGAACTCAGCCAAGCGGATGAGCCCCACACAGGAACGCAAATATTTTGCTTTAAAACTAACTTTTCACTTGCAAAAGATCGTCCGCAAATTGCCAATGGAAAATATTCAACAGAGAAAATGCACCCAAAGATATATATTGATGAAAATAGCACAATAAAAGCCACAGCAAATTACCATTAATATTCGATAAAAGAAGATGTTGAGCTTCTTCAGCAGAGAAGAGAAGAGCGTGCCAAATCAAGACTAAATGCAGGCGGGCCGAAGTGCCCGCGCCCTAATACAAGCAAGGCTTCGATAAGAGCGCGACCGATCGTGAGAGCGAGAGCGAAGCATAGAAAGAACGACGCGAGATGAAGACAAGAGAGAGCGGCTGCATAGGCTGCTGCCGAGTGCGAATATATAAATAGTACATATGTACATATGCGGATGAGAATGTGGTGCAGTGGACAGTGAAAATAACTGGCTATGCTGCTCCGTTCTCCGTTCGTGGAGAAATAAATGTGCCTAACGCGAGATCACTCCTACTTCCTACTTTTTAAAGATTCAGCTGGTATTTAATATATGTAGTTGGTATTTTTAGCCAGTGCGCAATGATGCTGGACACACAATATCTTCAAATGGCGGCAATTAAGAAAATAAATTATCAGTTCGCTTCCGAAGGACTAATTGGGGATTAAGCTAGGACAAATTGAGGACGAGACGGGCACACAGCAGGGCGAAACCGAATGAAGCCAGGAAGCAATTAATTTCCCCGAACGAGAAGGCGAGAAACCATCCGAGCGTGGACAAGCTGCATCCGGATGGATCAGCAGACACCGACCACAAGATACACATACATATGTATGTATGTATGTACATACACACACTCGCCCTCGTCATCGTCTTCGTCCTCGAACTTATACTCGTATGTTTGCATGGCAGGGCAGTAATATTTGATTAAGCCAGAAAAGTAGACCATGCAGGGAAAGAAGAGCAATTACTGGTCACGATAGCCCCATGAAATGTAAGTGAAGTACATGTATGGTGGCATACAGTCCGCGCCATGACCATAAAAAGCGCAAAGAGCGGCCACTAAATAAACAAGAAACGTTTACACTGACAGCTCGTCTAATGGCCCAGCCCCCACCGCCGCCGCCGCCACCGCCACCACCAGCACCCTCTTGGCTGTGTGGATTTGGCGGCTTTTGCCAGCTCCGCCTGACTAAACTCTCGACGTGCCCCAAATCCAGGGCCACTTGACAGCCAGCGCCACGTAACAAACGCTTCCGGCATTTCAACGTTCCAGCGTACAAAGCGAAGGCAGGAAGGGGGGATACATGACGTGTAGGCCAAGAACACCGGAAGCCGCTAACAAAGTTGGATATTTTGCATGCTGTTATAAATATCGCCCACCCCCATCCACCGCACTGGACCACAAAGAAACAGAGCCAAGAAGCTGGTCGAGCTGTCGGACAGGTGCTGAAATTAGTTTTCGCTCACACCCCGACAAGTGACACACTTCTAGAGGGCGGAGGGCGGAGGGCGAAGGGCGGAGGACCGTTGTCAGCACGTTTCCGACCGCTGCCGTGGCAGTCAACGTGACAAGCCCTTGGACATTGCTTGAAGGATTTGGGATCCCCCACGCACATGCGGCGGCAGGGAAACTTTTGAGGCAAGCGAAACAAGTGCTCGGCTGATTGCAACTCGAGTGGCGTTGTACCGGACCGCCCTCATTCAGAGCGTTTAACCTTGACATTTATGTGGGAGTCCCTTGAACGGATTTGATCACAGACCACATGCATAGTCGCCGCCAATCGTCGCTCCGAGGCTGTGCCAAGTGGCAAGTCAGCCGATAAATTATGGCATTTGCCAGCAAAGTGGTCTGAGGAGGGGGGGCAAAGGCGTCGGAGGGCTCGGTGGCTGCGAGATGTTCTCTACCGAGGACAAGCAAATGCAATTTGATTTGTGTTGGGTAGACGAGAAGTGCAATTCAATTTTCTCACTCACTCTGGCAAGGTCACATCTTGCTGCAGTCCATAGATCAAATGGATTGCCCTGGGTGAATGGATAGACAGACGGTTTGATGGATAGACAGATGGTAGCGTGGTTCAGCTCTTTAACAAAGTTCCCTTTCATCTTGCAGGTTCGCCAGCGCACCAAGGCCCAGCAGCAGCAGCAGCAACAGCAGCATACGCTCCAGGAGACGCGATCCTACTGCAACAGCGAGCCGCGTCTCAGCGAGACGGAGACGCCACCGCAGCGACGGAAGCTCTCGCAACGTCGGCCACAGCCACACGGTGAGAGGGCCACATATTTTGCGGTAGTTGTAGAGCCATCAAAAAGCTGTGCAACAAATTAGCCAAGTGCCGGGCTCCAATGTTTTTTATGCGGCATAAACTAAGCTCTCAACCAAATTGCTCGCCGCACGGCGCTGGAAAATTGACCATAAATGGTTTAGTGGCCAACCTGCGGGTGGCCAAAGGACTTTAAGTTCGTTTAAGAGGCGCTAACGTGGCCAATTTTGGCCTACAGCCACGGTTCAGGGCCAGCACCAGTACTTCCGCTATGACTAACATGCTTTCCAATAACATGAATTCGATTAGCGCTGCGGACCGCCGCCTCTGGTCGGTCATTGAACCCCATTGTTGACCCAGTTTTTCCGAGCGGCGACTGAGCAACGTGTCCTCATGCTAAGTGCTCTCCGTTTGCTCTCGGCTCTCTGCCGACGCGAAAGCTGTTCCAAACTGCAAACTAAATGAATTAATTAGCCGCCAACCTTTAATGGAGTTGCCAGTTGAAAAAAGTTTTGCTTAATTTAATCTCCTGTTTACGGTTGCAGGACACAGAAAATCGAACGCCTTCCTGGACGTCCCCACCATGAACATGCATCACCTGCGCGTCAACGATGACGACGAGGATGTGGACAGACTGCGCACATTCAGCGCATCCAAAGGAGGTGAGTAGAACGCAGGACCCCAATCCACAAAGGTCTCGGTGGACCATTTTATTAATTTCGAAATTGAAAGTCAACAAAAGCCTTGGGACCGTGATGACTGGGATTACACATGATCCCAACAATGCGGACGGGGCATCTGGGATGGGTCTTAAGGCTCAGGGAACAGGATATGCGTATGCTGGGAGGCATACAGTTTTGCTAGTTTTGCTCCCAGGCACGCAGCGTGGCAATCCTTATTGAAATCTTAAAAGGCTGTTACACAATCATGTTAAGGAGATATCAGTGGCACTAAATGCCACTCCAAATAGAATATGAATACCAGGAGGCACACACACACATAAACACACCCCCCATAGCACATGTGTAGTTTTCCCATTATGGTGTGTCCCTGTGTGTGTGTGTTTTTCCTTTTTGCATGCCTTTTGTATTCTATATTTGTGTCACGTTGTTGTTACACATACGCACTGTGGCAGGATAGCTCTCTCTCTACAGGGCCTAAGGAAAGTCTAAGATTGTGCAAAGTTTGCTCTTAAAGGCAGGCACATTTCCTCTGGGCAAACTTCAAGTTTCAGTTTCCTTAGAAATGCTACCTATTCTTCGTCGCTTCAACAGTCCTCTTAGGGCACTCCCCTGAGAATTAGGTGAATTATTTAAAATAGTTTCCTTCAAAGGGTCAAGTAAGTTTGAAAATTGACTCAATTACTGAATAAATAGAGTTATAGATGCACTTACTGTCCAATAAATTAGGTAATAGAATTAAAACAGATATCAAACAAGTTATTTCCATCAAAGTTGTGGAATTGCCTTTAAATTCTGTCTGAGCTGAGCTGAGCTTTCGCCTAATAGTTCGTCCTATATCCACAGAGCCCATGGCCCACTCCTTCGAGTGTTTGCATGCACAAATGCATGGGGCAGACCCTAAGTACGTGTTTAAGCCCACCCATACAGGCTCAGGACACGAACTGCCAGGGCTCAGAATGGGGAACTGAGCAAGCACTTGAACAGACATGACAGCAAACAGACGACAAGTCCAAGTTTTAGCTACAGAAGGTGTCATAACTTAGTCATGAGGCAGAGCCAAATCCCTGGGAGTTTCACGAGAGTAACGTTGGAAATATGATAGCTGAAGTGGGCCAGCGGAAAGGGGCCATTCTTGGGGAAACCCATTTTGCATGCACGCCAAGAGAACGGCCATTGACATTGATCGTGGGTGGGCCTCTCCCTCTCCCTCGCCCCGGTGTGCATTGCCGTCAAAGAGTATCAGAGTTTCTCTCTGCTGGGTCTCCCCTCCCAGCTGTCACGGATGAGCAGGGACTGGAACTGAGACTGGGACTGGAACTGAGACTGGGAAAGGAAGACGGATACATTCTGAAACGCACTGCATATTAAAATTCAATGAAGTGTCTGTGTTTGCTCGGCTAAATTGCTTTCAAATACAAGCCAAATGCCTTGTAAGGGAAGCTGTCTTGTGGTTGTGTCATACCCGAGTCATGTGCGCTCATTTAATTAAAGTTAAAACGCTCGAGATGACGGGCCGCAGGAGGGAGGAGGTCGAATATACCGGCTCTGGCCATCATCCATCAATTATGTTTACGGTTTGGACGAGTGGTAAATGCAAAGTGGAGAAGGCCCCGTCCAACAGACGGACATGGATTCTCTTCATGTTTGGACAGGCGATACCCCGACTGGGGTAGGGATAGTGGAGAGTGGATAGTGGAGAGTGTGTGATAAATTGAAACGCCCAAGCGAGTGTCAGTCCCCGATGGCAGCCAATGAAGCGGCACGAATGAAATGTTCATTAAAAACTTCCCACCCACCAGCCCCTTTTGGTCCTGTGTGAGGATTTGCCCGCAAATTGAATCATAACTGAATAATGCAGCACGGAACGGATTAAGAACCAAATGTGTCTGATGCCAATTCCCGAATGGCTTTGCCCAAATGCTGAGCATTCGATTGTGTATTTATAGAAGTGAGAGTTTTTTGTTTAGACAATTTACAACCTTGAAGACGGTTAATCATACACGAGTAGGTATTGTACGTATCCCAGCAGCATATGCTGCATATCGTGCCACACTAGCCCCACTCTAAATCAATCGACAAATAAAACGTTCGATTTATTTGCATAAGCGGTCATTTCATTGTTTAAACAAAGTGAGTTTCCCAGGCAAAGCAGGAGGTGGAGGCGTGTGGAACCAACATCAAAGAGCAAGGAGAGTACAGCATTCCCATGATGGATGCTAGAAGAAACGCTGAACATTACTGCACACATTAGTCAGCTGGAATTGTGGAATTATATCTAAAATTGCAAATTAAATTACAGTCGGCTAAAAATAAATATGAACATTGCACAAATATTTGAGCGAAAAGTAAACTAAATCGCAATTTTTATTGCTGGCCGTTTGCACCTTTTCCAAACGAATTGTTTCCCTTCCCCTCCACCAGAAAATCTGTACAATATTTGGCCACCCAAAACTGTTTTATGGCTTTCCAATGATGACGGCTCGTCCAAACCGCAGAGATAGAAGCGAAAGAGAAGGGAAAATCAATTCAAAATTTCGCTCGTACGAATATGTAAATGTTTAGAATCATTTTGGCAATTAATTTGGCAATTTGCACAATTAACGACCGCAGATGAGCAACGAGTGAACGCCAGCGAATAGGGAATAGTGAAAGATTTCTGATGAAGATCTATATATTTCGTGTATATACTGACATATAACGAGTCGCGCCACGGCTGAACGCAATAAGGCAGGCCATAAATCTATTTATGACATTTCAAATGTACAATATACATTTACATAAACTGCCAGGCACAGATCTGATCCGAGTAGAACAGAACAGAACAGCATACCGTATATAGATTGCTACCGATTGATACAAATACATACACATGTAGGTGGGTATCCCCTTAACCCATTGCCGTCTGGGCTGGGGGATTATAATTGACAATGACCGCAGGTTTTTGGCTTTTGGCATTCGTTGGGTAATACCTTTCCATAGGCATTGTCTGCGAGGGCACGAACATCGTATGGCTTAATGTTGAGATTACCGGGAATTTATTCGTCTGTAATGGGGAGGGAGTTGATTGAACCCAATGTACCCTTTCTCATTACACTTTTTACACATGGAATACCATATTTCAATCGGGATACAGTACAGTGCAATGCGTAAGCGGATGTCTCGAGGCTTATCTGAACAGCTCGAACCTGTTCGTTCATGGGTTAAAGTATCCATTCGGCCTTGTTCCACACAAATTGAAATGTCTTTTTAATTGCTTTATTTTAAGGGAAATACAATTTTCGCCCGACATTTCCGATAGATATTCTTTGTATATTCTTTGCTGTTGTAAATATTCGAATTTTGCTGCAGGAAATGTTTGGCTTTAATTTTAAATGTTCAATGAAAAATATAATCCCTAACTGGTGGCAGACTGGGGCAGACTGTGGCAGACGGAAACGTTTCGTGGGGGGGGAGAGGGTTAACATGGCCACAGATGCGAGACACAAAAGACAGATTAACTATTGTTGATGCTGCCCTTGTGGCAGGAAGCTGTAATTTCTGCCTGGGCAACGTGGCGTATGCGCAACGTGGCATTGGCTTTGCACGCGTTGCACATACGCCCTGTCGTGCGCGACTCCAGCAGGTGAACTAACAATGGCGGAATATGCATTCGGAATACGAAATGGGTGACGTTTCGCCGCTTTTTTTGTCACATTTTCCTCTCGTTTCTCATTCTGATGTGCGACTCTCTGTCGTTTTCTCTTTGTCCTCTCGCCCGCATCAGGCATCATTAATCGCGGCGACTCGTTCCGACGTCGACGGTCGCGCAGTAACAGCCTGGCTCCGGCCAGCCCCATGCACGCCCGCAACGGTGTCGGCGGCCTGGGCGGCAACACGGGCGGCGGCAGCAGCCAGGGCCTGGGCTCCGGCTACAACGGCGGAGGCAGCAGCAGCAACGGATTCGGGCACGGACAGAACGCCCAGGAAAACCACCAGCCGGTGGAGTTCTATCGCGTGGAGATGCTTGGATCGGCGGGCGTGGGCAAGCAGGCCCTGGTCTCACAGTTCCGCACCTCGGACTGCATCAACGCCTACGATGGACCAGGTCAGTAGTCAGTAGGTCGATTACTCAATCGAAATCCAAGCTAAGTGAACGTTATCCCTTGCAGAGTGCGATGAGGGCGAACAGAACATCTCCATCATCTTGAATGGCACCGAGTCGGAGCTCAAGTTCCTCACTGGCAGCCCGGAGAGCAAGGTGAATAGTCATTTGTCAAACGGACAGAGCACGCTCCCCACCCCCGTCCAACACGCACAGAGTCAACAGCTTTGGCCATTTGTGTTTTGTAATTGTCGGTGAATATTTCACCATTAACTCGGCTCCGACCGCAAACCGAGTAGGGATGTGCCCTGTGGCCTGTGGCTAAGGCTGTCACCTCCGACGGCAAGACAAATGAGCCCGTCCGGACAGCTGAGATTTGCCCGAGAGTCGGTCCGAGAATGATTTGCCAACTGGACGAGCATAAACTGCACAAAGTGAATTAATTAGAAATGCAAAATGCAAAATGAGTTCGTGAATTGCGTGTAGACGAGAAGGAGCTTAAGCTCACTTGCCCCCAGGCTGCAAGAGGAAATTGTTAAACAAGTTAAAATAATACGTTTCAGTTTCGACCATTATGTACTCCCTACTCCATTTCTAACAGTCTTTGCCTGTTGTATCGATTTGCCAAAACACATCATACCCCTGTATACCTAGCTCCTAGTAGGAACACTTCCACGGAGTGCAGTTTCCGAGCTGCGGCTAGTTACGGACAAGTGCAGGGAATGCTGCAGGATGGTTATTTCGTTGAAATCATTTAGGGAATTCGTTTAAGGTCCTGCCGGGCAGCACCAGCAAATTTCTGAGCCCTTTCCAACGGCATGAAAAACAAGAAAAAGAGTCGAAAGAGCAGGCGAAATAGCAGCAAAGGGAAAGGCATAATATAAATACAATATGAGTGCGCGTCTGTGCAATCGAAATGCCAAATTGCTGGCCGAATGCCAAATGCCGACTCTGTCTGGGCTGCCGGCGGGGCGGCTAACAATATAAATGAACGCGTTGATGATAATTATAATTGCTGATGACGATTGCCACGATGATGGTGATGGTGATGGTGATTGCAATGTCGAGTCGTTGACAAAACAAAAGGAAGCGGACACAATTTATCCATTCTGGAATTCGAGAGGCCACAGTCGCTAGCGAATTAAAGGCGCCCCAAAGCCCGTGCATGGCTCCCAAAAGTTGGCTAAAAACAAATAACAAATTGCTTGAGGTTTGACCTTAGACCCCACTCTTTACGGAAACATACTTCAAACGTATACGCCCCGTGGCAGCCGCCAGCGGCGAGGTGCAAAATGAACAAATGTCGGATGTGCCTGGCGTGGCTTTATGAGCCACAAACGGAAGCCAGGATGTTGGGCACCAGAGCGCCAAAAAGAAAGGAAACTTGCCAGCGTCATCAGGCCACAAAATATGGGGAGCTCCAGCAAGAAATATATGTATTTCTATAAGAGAATGGGGCGCAGAAAAATATTTCTTTTTCTATTTTGACGCTGATTAAAAAGAGAGACCTAAACATATTGTAATTCGTTCTGCATAATACATAATCTTTGTTAGGGAAATTACGGGCAACTGTAGAAAGCCTTCCAAAGGATCGATAAAGAGGAATACAGAAAGTGATTTAATGATGATCAGGAAGAAAGAGTAACAAGGATAAGGTACTACTACTAGAAATCTTCCTTGATTTAACATTCGATGAGGCTTTCGATGCTGATTACCACATACCTTTAGGAGTACATATCAATAGGAGTTTCGAGGGCCTGATAAAACGGCAAAGACAGGCCCGGAGTGTGGGCCATCTTGCTGACCCGTTAATGTATGGGTCCTGATAAAATGAACATCATTAAAAGTCTGGGCGGCTTCTTTTTTGCCCTCAGCTTGTTACAGAGATGGCAAGTGGCCATAATTTTAATTTTTACGAGCATAAAATGCAAAAGTACGCAAACAAAAGCGAACAAGGAGCAAAAGGAGCAAAAGGAGCAGCTGGAAAAGGAGGAGTTTCTCTCCGAGGCGGCCTGCACTTGACGGGGCGCAGTTAAGAACTTTTAATTTCACTCCGGCTAACTGCAATAAAACACGGCATTAAATATTTTCAGCAGTCACGACCGGAATGGAAAGGCACCACAGCACGGCAGGGCGGGGCAGGGCAGAGGAGGGCAGGGAGGGCTCTTAGAATGTTGTAAACTTGTTGAGTGCTGTGTTTTAATTTGGATTCACTGTCTTCTCCATTCGCTTTGCAGGACGAACTGGAAGAGGCGGATGCGTTTCTAGTGGTCTACTCTTGCATTGACAAGGAGTCCTTCACGAGGGCTAAGCAGATTCTATCGCGACTGCAGGACATGGACCTGCACCGCCACCGCCCCATCATTCTGGTGGCCAACAAAATTGATTTGGCCCGCTCACGCGCCGTCTCTGCGCAGGGTATGTAGCAATTAGTCAGCCAGTGGCACCGGCCAAGGGCCAAGGGCCGGGGGCCACGGACCACGGACCACGGATCACAGCGATAGCGATTGCCATTGCATTCATTTGCATCGTCAATTAAGTGGCGTGACCGGGCATCATGGTTATGCATGGAGTGGCTCCTTTATGTCCTCATCCATGTCCTTGATTTGTGTGTGTTTCGCAGATGGCAAATGTCTGGCCTGTGCGTTCGGAGCCAAGTTTATCGAGGTCTCGGTGGGCATCAATCACAATTGCGACGAGCTGCTGGCCGGGGCCCTCACCCAGATACGGCTCAAGAAGGACCAGAACATGTTGCAGGTATGTGTGGAAGGAGAATCTCTGCTTAGCGTCCCCCTCCCCCCACAAACCCCCCATTGATGGATAGAACTAGCTATATAGATCCAGTATCGGTTGCAGTAAAAGTTAGCTGGTTGGTTGTTCATCTGCTCCATCGACTACTTCTCTCCCCCAACTATCCCCAACTATCCCCTCTGAGAGTTTGTTCTATGTAATACTTTGTATCTGTATGTAATCTATGTCCATCAACGATCGCTTTCGCAGCTGAATCCGAAAAAGTCAAAAGATAAATCTAAAATAAAAGATAACAAGACCGTAGAGACTCTAGAAACTGATAAATTTCTGACTGATCTTAATGCCGACGATGGGGTAAGTAAAACAGAAGCTCCTCCTCCTCCGATCAGTTTCCCCCGTTTCAAGTCCAACTTCTGCCCCAACAAAACGCAATCAATGTCCTTCCACCCAACTCCTATTCTTCCCCCCATTTCAAGTAGAGCATGATATACATAGTGTCTATGTAGGTTGAAAGCTCCCTGTGTCTATGTTTGTCTATGTGTGTATATATGAATATCCTTTCCTGCCCGTTCCTGATCTCTTGCCAAGAGCCACTAGCAGCAGACAAGTTTTGCAAATTTGCCAACAAGGAAATGTGTCAAGTGTAAAACCTACGAGTATTCCGTAGACCACTGCCTAGACCACTGCCAAACTGGTGTGCTCTTGGGTTTGTTTGTTTGTTTTTTTGTAATATTTTATCTTGTGTCCTGAACTAAACCCCTGGCCAGCCAGAGTCCGCACAAAGCACATGAGAAATGCAAAATTCAATTGGCGCCCGAAAAGGAATAGCTCTGCAATGGCTGCCAAACCAAAAACCTTTCAATTGAGTGGCAAGAAAATGTAAAACATGTTCAGAACGAGTCCCCCCTTGCTTGCCACTCCCCTTCCCTTCTTAGTAATAAAGTTGAAATTGTATAACTAACATTTAATCGACTTACAGGGCCATCGGGACGGCAGCTCTCCGGCGCACTGGTACAAGAGCCGCAGCGTGATGCTGGCCAGCATGAAGGCCCGACAGATGCTCACCTGGATACTGGGCAAGGAGGACTCCAAGTTCAAGCACTGCGAGAATCTTCAAGTGCTGTAAGCCCGAGGGAAAACCAAACAAAAATCGATGTTAGTCTATGTGTTAACTGTATCGATATATGAATATGTGTGTAATCCAAGCCCAAAGCAGAAGGCTTCAGCATCCAATATGTAAACAGGTTTCGATAGTTCGAAGCAGGCAAACCACCCTCTCTGTCCCGCCCCCTGCCTCTGACCAGATACAAGCCACAATTCGCATTAGCAATTTACAATTTCCGATGCATAACCTAAGCCTGATAATCAAAAAATTAAATCAAATTTAATGCTAATCAAAATCGAAATCAAAATCAAAGGACCGGCAATGGAGATAGAAGATTAACCAAAGCAACTTAATGGAACCAAGCGAAGCAGCAACCAAAAAACAACAAAATACTTACTACTTACACACTATATGTACTTAACTAGCAACTTTAGTAAATTTTCTAAGCTATGAGCATGTTAGAGGGGATATGTATTTTTCAGAGCTGACTAGCAGAGATGTACTATTTACAAGGAGTACGTGAATACGATGAGGGGAAAGTGCTCCGCAAACCAAAATTTAAATAGCTATGAATGTTAAGCGAATGCTTTCTATAGGATTTGAGTTTCTACTTTTTAAGGGGAGTCTTACAGGGTCGCGATGAGCGCTTGAAATGATTATATATATAATACGAGTAGTAACCATTTATGGGTGTCCATCATATATAGATATAGAATTCAATATTCTTTGTGTCTTCCTTAGTCAAATATGTGTGTGTCTGTAAGTATCTATGTGTTAGGGATTCAAATATGTACGAGTATGTATGTATATCCTCCCTGAAAATGCATTGCAATGTATGGAATTTGAATGTCATCCACTGAGACAGTAAATCTTGTAAATGTGCTCGATGTGGAAGCATGGAGAAAAAAAAACTACAATAATAATATTACCATTACATAATGGAAGCTAAAGAGATCTGTGTGTGTGTGTGTAAATATGCTTAATCACGTGTGGATATTGGCATAGGTTCTACCATGTATAAAGTATAAACTATAATAAAGAAATATTTAAATGTTTAACAATATAAATTACCTAACTCATTTATTTCTTAATTTAGATTTATACAAAAATATAATGAAAATGAGGGAAACGAGGCTGTGTGAGAAAATGTCTATACCTATATTATATATTATAAATGAGCTTGTGAGGCTTATCCAAACTGCTGCTGAGTACTTCCGACTTGCTTGGCCACCTGCGACCGATAGCGGAAGAGCGGGCGGAACACATTTATTTCCGCCAGCTCCATGTCATCGGCCGCCTCCTCGTAGGCAAGCTCGTCCAGTGCTCTCCTCAGACGGGTCAGTGTCCGCTCATATCTGTACAGATTGTCGAGGGCTTCGCTGGAAATGATGGCTTTGGTATCCGCTTCTGTGGCAGCACTCAGTCTTTGAATCTTTTCTGTGGCGGTGAGGCGCTCTTGGGGATAGGCGCACACCATATTGAGAGCGGCAAAGCAGGCGATCAACCGAAAGATTTGCTATTGGTGGGGTAAATCTCCGTTAGACGGTTACGACTTGAAGGTTTACTCTGGCCCACTAACCTTATTCGACAGCATTTTGTGGGAGTTTTCTACTCAGGGCTGGTGTAATCTGCTCTATTGCAATTGAACTGCTTTTAGCACGACTGTGGCTTGTAAAGTCTGGCCTCAGTGGACTTGGCATCGCAATTTATACAATTGGCAAAATGTTTTGCCCAGTTCAGTCTCAGTCTGTTCTGATTAGCACCTCGAGTGGTTCTAATTTATCGCCTCGATTTGCACATGTAAGGCTCGCTGCAGTGTGCCTGGGACAAATTAGCGAGTTGGCGCTGAAAATAAGAGCATTTTCCGCTCTGAATCGAAACCAGAGGAAGTCGGATCATGTGCACACGGGCAATCGTCTTTTCCTGAGCTGAGTTATTGTCAACAAAATCGCCACTGACTAATCCGGTCGCGTGTCTCATCGCATAATTAGCTCATGATCTCAGGAACAGTAATTCCCGGCATCCAGACTGGCCGTCCAATTGAAATAGCAAATAAAATGGCGCGCGGTGATTTCCAAATATTATAGAACGTGGCTCCTGCATCTAAAATCAATATTGTGGCGTCTTTTGGTAAATAGCTTTGAAATGTTACAATTACGTTGAATTTCAAATACAAATAAGTAACTGAAAGATATTTTAGAATTCTATTTTATAGAAAATGCTGGGTGATTGGCTCGATGTTGATAAGTCGTCTCTTAGTGTCCTTAGATTTATTGAAAATATCTAATATGATCACTAGGTGCAGCTCTATAGAATCAATTACCCTTTTGTAAGCTAAATTAGACAACATAGGGTATAGTAACTGCCGTACTAGAACATGCAGCGATTTATCATCAGTGGTGGCTCTATTTTTTGCGTCAAAAATTTACATTTATACTCGTAAGGACACGCGGCCCGCACTAGGGTCTGAGCCGACTCCACTTGGCGTCGTCGCCAATCGTAAACTACTATCCCGAAGATGCCAAGCTCAGCAGCGAGTGCTTCTCCCAAGCTGGAGACGGTTGCCGATTTCCATGTCTGTTCACAGTCCATGGTATCCTCGGATATCTTTCGCCCCCTGAAACTCAACTTGGGGGGCTCCTTGAGCGACTCGTGGGAGCCTGGATGACGATACTAACGGTATACTGGTGGATCACCTGGGATTGTTCCAGTTGGACAGTGCTAGGTTGCGTTTAGAATTGATAACAGCCGCTCCCGGTACTTACCAAAAAGGAGGCAGAATGTGCAAAAATGGACAGACGAAAATCGTATCGGGCACATTTTAGGAGATAATTAACAGGAAGTTTTAAATACTACGAATTTTGTATTTTTCTTTTGATTTAAAATAACAATTACATATAATAATTCGAGTCTATACTAATATATAGAATGAAGTAAATGGAGGGGCATGCTGAGCAAATGTTGCACATGAGTAGATTTTTTTGTTTCAGTTCTTTCCTGAAACTGAAACATATTCGGTAGCTCTAGCTGGAAAGGGTCATAATTTCAAGCAGCTCGATTGATTCATCATCAGAGCATTCAGTTTCCTTTCACGCCTTATACCAAGAAAAATGTATATACGTACATATATACATTTGTAAATTGAAGGAATTGCTGTGTGGTATGGGTAACAAAATAAGTATTATTCGGCGAAAGTGCGCTGATCATATTGCTCAGAAATATATTTTTTCCATTCGATTCTTTATAATTGTAGCAGGTTGAGGCAGCAGCAATGTCCGGTGGGTGGTTGGGTGGCAGATCTGGTGAAAGAGGGGGAAATCTGCTTAGTATTCATGGTAATCGCAAGTGCTCGCCCAACTGCGGAAATAATTTAAGAATTTTACTATTAAAGGAGGTCGGCGGTCTGATCGAGACCTCACTGAAATAGATTATCCAGAATGCTGTCCGTCAAAGTTTTCATTATACAGATTATAACGCAATGAATCCGTGAAATTTCGCTAAACCTGTGATTGCCAATTTGAAATAAGGCGCCGATAGGCAGCCCTGTGAATCATTATAATCATGTCAAATTTCATGTAAAATTTAAATACATTTAAAGAACTAGTGAATGAAATTGAACTTAACTGAACGAAGCAACAGACATCGAGCATTGCTATCAGGGTGACCGTTTACGGTATGTTTTTAATGGTATATTTAATCAATTTCCTAAATATTTTTTAAAATATAGGTTACAGAAAGTTCCTTAAGCTCGTTTTTTCACTCCTGCTCCATGTAAATGAACCGGTTCCGAAGCCAGCAGAGAGTCGTGGTGATGCTAGTTTTTTTCGGTGAATGTAGTCTCCATAAATATGTGGTTCATATGTACCAAATATGTAGTTACCATGTAGAACAAATATACATTTTTGTTGAGCTTATTTGTTTAAATCCTACTTCATAAACAAACAAAAATGAGTATCTAAAATCGGATGAAGCTATGTGCTTAGGGCTGGTGGTGCTAACTAGCTGATAATATTCAACCGAATATCAAAATCGAGAAATACGATTTCCTATCTTATAATAAACAAAGAACGATTAACCCATTATAGACCAGTGGGTATTAAAATACACTCCACAAAAATTATGAAATTTGAAGAACTTTAGCGCAGACCAAGTGAAAGTTAACTTACTCACTTTTGTTGTAAACAAAGAGAAATGCTGGATATTCAAGGAACGTTTAAAACAGAATACTGTTTAAATAGAGGGGGACTGAGTGGGTTAAGTTATTTATTGTTATTGTTATTTTCTCATAATGTGTACTTCAACTGTTTAATGTTTGTTCAACGGTAGATATTAACGACAATTGTAAATGTTGAACGTGGCTTTATCAACCGATGTCAACTTGTTAGCTTTCAAATCTGTTCCGGGGCTGTCAACAAACCAACCGAAAATCTTCTACCGCATGTCGACGACCCACGGATACCCTCAAGTGCGGAAGATAACAAAAACTATTGCTGCACGCGTATAAAGAACATCCATTGTGCAAGATAAATCTCTGCAGTTGCCAAGCGTACACATTCGCTTAGATATTAATGCTGCAGAAGATAATATACATATGTACTTGTACTTCGTAGAGTCTGTTATCTGTTAGAAACACAATAGACTGCGGGACCCCAGAAAGACGCACAAATCGAACTCAATTTAGCAACGCTCAGAAATTCGCCAACTCAGCAAATTTTGTATACCGAACGGAAACACATTTTAAATTGCGATACGAGCGTCACACAGAATGACTCGGGGTGTCATTGTTTGAGCGATTGTTGGTGTGGTGGCCAAACGACGACGCAAACAAGAAAAACTATACATACACATGTACATATTTTAATATGTGGCTCCGTTTGCGATAAGTGTAATATAAAACTCGCTCTTCACCCGAAACTCTATGGGCCCCGGGAGAAAACCACAAAGACAGCCGAGTCCAACCCACTCTACCTGCCGACAGTTGCCGTTGAGTCACCCAACTACCTGTTGATGCCAGCCTGCGATTGTTCGCTCTGTTCTTGTAGGTAGCATTTTAGAACGAAGACATCACGTCGCTCTGTTCGCTGGACGTGTGCAGCTGCTTCTCCACACAACGCCTGTGCCAGTCGATGCGACCAAAACTGGGAGGCGGACGAACGCGTAAAATGAGCAACAACTACAACGACATACCCTTCGGCATACGGATAGTGCAGAAATTGTCGCGACAATGCTGCCCCCGCCTGCACGCCCGCCGAGATCTGCTGTAAGTATGCTCCACTGTCCGAAGAGGAACAAGTATTCACAAGGATAATCTTTTCCAGCTACAAGGTATCAATTTTTGTGCTGACTTTTCTTGCCTATGCCTGCTATCACATGTGCCGAAAACCGATTTCGGTGGTCAAATCGGTTCTCCAGGGAAACTGTTCCTCTGCGCTGGCAGCCCAACTGCACGAAGGCCAGGACTGTGGCTATGCTCCTTTTGGTGAGTTTGTTGAATTGCATTTATGCCCAAATAACAAAAATTGATATCCATAGATGGACCCGATGCCACCAAACTGTTCGGCATGCTGGACTCGGCGTTTCTCTTCACTTATGCCATTGCCATGTTTGCGTCTGGTTTTGTGGCAGAGCGCGTTTCCCTGCGCTACTTTCTGTCGATGGGAATGATCCTCACTGGCATCTTCACGTACATGTTTGGCATTGCCCGCACCTCCAATATACACAGTCTCTGGTACTTTATCCTTATCCAGATCGGTGCCGGCATATTCCAGACCACGGGATGGCCAGGCGTGGTCACGCTGGTGGGTCGCTGGTTTGGCAAATCAAAGCGCGGCCTCATATTTGGCATCTGGAATAGTCACACGTCCATTGGCAACATATTGGGCACCTTAATAGCGGCGCATTATGTGGAAAGCGATTGGGCCATGTCCTTTGTGGTGCCTGGTATAGTCATTGGCGCCATTGGTTTTCTACTCTTCCTGTTCCTGGTGGATCAGCCGGAGATTGTGGGATGCTATCCGGACAGCGTGCCGCACGAGCGTCGTGTTACCAACGACTCGGACGAGGAGCATGGCGACGAGGAGCAAGTGCGCCACAACGATGCCGTAAGTATTCCCTTTCGGCAATTATCCTGATTCAAGCGAGAACCAATAGCCTCCTCCGCATGTTCAGATAGTCCGAATTCCCTATTTTTGGAGATTTTAATTTCTTAAGTGTATCCATGTTCGCGTGTTTGCTCGGCTGTAGTTGGTAGTCATGCCTGGGTATGGCATTTCGGAAACCGTAAGTGCATGATTCAGTGTTTGCTTTCCCTAATGGCTTCTGTAATATTTGCGCGCTTTGACCCACAAATATCCACGAATCAATCAAAATCGAATCTTTCCTACTCTTGCAGGAAATCAGCTACAGATCGACGCCAACGGAACGCACACCAATCTTGGCTCGTTCCCAGTCGCAGAACCATCCGAGGGAGCACGGAGCTGGTCGTCCCATCAGCCTCATCGATGCTCTATATATACCTGGCGTTGCGGAGTTCTCGTTATGTTTGTTCTTCACCAAGCTGGTCAGCTATACATTCATGTACTGGCTGCCCTTGTACATACAGTCTTCCAGTGAGTATACATACAGTGTCCCCAAACAATAGAAACGTTAACTAATATATGTACTTACGATGGCAGGCACACTGGGTCCCACTTTGTCCGCTGATCTGTCTACACTCTTTGATGTGGGTGGCATTTTCGGGGCCATAGCTGCGGGCTACTTATCCGATCTGACTGGAATGTCGGCCACCATCTGCATGGGCATGCTCTTCATAGCTTCGCCCATTGTAAGTATCTGCATGAACAACCCTATTCAGTCGAGTATTGAGATTAATTTCCATTTCCATTCAGCTACTGATGTATCAACAGTACGGCACATTGTCAGTGTCCATCAGTGTGCTGCTGCTAATTGTGGTCGGCATCTTTGTGAACGGCCCGTATGCATTGATCACGACCTCGGTGAGTGCAGAGCGCGGCCAGGACAGCTCCTTGGAGGGCAATGCCAATGCTCTGGCCACTGTGACGGCCATCATCGATGGCACTGGCTCGATTGGTGCAGCTGTGGGGCCGCTGCTGGCCGGCCTGATCTCCACCACTGGCTGGCAAAATGTCTTTTACATGCTCATCATAGCCGACATCCTTGCCATGCTGTTGCTGAGTCGACTGGTCGTCAAAGAGTTCGCCTCGCTGCGGAGATCACCGACACGTATTCGCATCGAATAACAGGCGGCGGACCTCGAGCCGATTGATGTAGTCTGACCTTATTAATTAGATATTTTGATAACCGTTTTGTGTACATAGTGCGTTGTATAGCATTCATAAAGAAGTGTATTGTTTCCATTCGAGAGCGTACGAGTATCAGAGCCGATCTGATTCTAGTTTTATCCTACCCATTATACTAGTACATGTCGTATATCACTAATGTTATTTTAAATGTATTCGTTCAACAGGCCGGAATGTTAACCATTATCCTAAGCCATCTTTCAAGTTTACACTTTTGATATATTGCGTACAAATACTATATACTACATATACGATATATATATTTATATATTTTGTAATCTTGTGTGTGCGTGTGTCAGAGTCTCTTCGTTTTAAGTGCCGAACTATCATTAGTAATAGCGTAATTATACTGCTATGTAAATACAGTTTATCCGTACACTTTTCGTACATCAATAAAACCGGAAGGACCGTCCGCCCCTCACGGCAGTCCAATTTCTGAACGCTATGTCTCTTTCTGGTCACTGCCGGACGGACTCGCTGTTTGATTGAGTTCCTGTTTTGCCTGAAAGTACACATGCTCATTCGACCAATGTTTCATCGACTTCTGTGAGAGAACCATCTTTGTTCCTGCGGACGTAGCTTTCAGCGGCAATCCTCTTCAGGTACTTCACGGTGGCATCATCGTTTTGACTGACGAGCTTGAGCAGGGCCCCCCCGGGACGCTGTAGAAGCTTGTGTGGTGCCCCGAATTCAACAATCTGTCCAGCATCCATAACCAGGACGCTGTCGTTGTCCATCACCGTATGCAGTCTGTGGGCAATGGTTAGGACTGTGCACTGGGCAAACTTTGTCTGAATGGTCTCTTGGATCAAGCCATCCGTCCTAAGGAGGGCAAACGGAATAAAAGTTAGTTATGTTAACTGGGTCACATCTGAAAACAAGCTTACTCGCTGTCCACATTGGCTGTTGCCTCATCCATAACGAGAACCCGATTCTGCCGGAGTATAGCACGGGCCAGGCACACCAGCTGCCTCTGACCCATGCTGAAATTGGAGCCACCATCCTGCATGCGACAGGCCAGACCTCCATCCAGACTGGACACATATTTCTTCAGCTTCACGTCCTCCAAGGCACTCCACATCGCCGCGTCGCTCTTCTCGCCGAACGGATCGAGGTTGAAGCGCAGTGTGCCCGAGAACAGAACGGGATCTTGGGGTATAATGGATATGCGACTGCGTAGATCATGTAGACCCAACTGGGCAATGTCCTGTCCATCGATCTCTATGGTGCCCTCATTAACAGCCAGACGAAACAGGGCCTGAATGATGGAGGACTTTCCCGCTCCTGTGCGTCCCACAATGCCGATCTTCTCCATGGGCTGCGATTCAAAGTTCAGGCCTCGAAGTATGTCCTCGTCTTCGGGGGCGTAACGCATGCGCAGATCGCGGAAACGAAGATGGCCCGCCTGTGGCCATTCCGCCGGAAGCTTCACACTCGCAGGCGTCTCCAGTGGGGGCTCCGATGGCATCTGTGCATACTCCAGCACCCGCTCCACGCTAGTCATATTGTTCTCCATCTCCGCCGTCTGCCGCATGCCCCACTGGCACATAATCACTAGAGTCATGGACTGAGTGATGGCCAGGCCCACATCGCCACTGTAGAACTTCTGGTTTATGACCAAAAAACTGAAGGTGACGGCCAGGATGTAGACGACACAGATGAGATCGGTCCAGAAGGAGAAAGCCCGATTGGCGCTTACGTAGAGGAACAGGGCCGAGGAGTTTGTGTCTTGGTGACCATAGAAGGTCTGCTCCAGCTGCGGCATGGCGTCCATCGATCGTATGGTGGTATGGCCATGGAACGTTTGATTCGTATGGGAGTAGATGGGACTCCGAGCTGGATTGGCAGAGGAAAAGAATCATGAGTTAGTGGGAATCGATCCGTAATCCAATATCGACTTACTCATGCTCTCGATGCGTTTCAGGCTGCGACTGGCTCCTATGTAGAGGGCCCGGCAGAGATACAGGAGCAGCGCCATCACGGCAGCAGGGATGAGCAGCCAATAGTTGGCAATGGCCACAATCACCAGAACGGCCACCACATCCACCAAGAACTGCAGAGAATCCATCATGGCCTGCGGCAGGGTCACATCCACACTCTGTATGTCGCTGGAGAATCGATTGAGCACGCGACCTGAGGGATTCACATTGAAGAAGTGCATCCAGGCGCGAATTATGCCCTGGTAGAGCTGATCGTGCAGCCGCAAGGAGATGCGTAAGCACATGAAGAAGAATCCAAAGGTGCGGAGCAGATACAGGGCGAGTGTGCACAGCAGCAGCACCGTGTACCATGTGACCATTTTGGTACGCGTAACGTCGTACTCGTCCACGGAGTCGTAGGTGCGATCCTCCTCCCAAGTGGCCCAGCGCGAGATGAAGATATCCATGGCCGCCTGGCAGCCGCGAGCGAGTATGAACATGGCCAGCACCAGGCACACGAGGAACGGAGCGCCCAGGGCCCGGAAGTACGACTTGTACGTTTCGAAGCTCACGGCACCCTGAAGCTGACGCTCGGCATGCGCATCCTCTACCTGTTCGCTGCTCGGATCATCTTCCTTGCTCTTGGTCGACATCTTCGAGGTCCTGTCCACCTGGCTGAGTACTCGCTTCACCTGCTGTTTGTCCGCCTCGATGGCTTCCAGATCGAGGGCTGCATGATGGCTGATCACATCCTTTAGCTGATCGTAGCTGCCCTGCTGCGTGAGAGCGCCCGACTCCAGCAGGAGGAGGTGGTCTACATGCTTGAGCAGCTGCACATGGTGGGTGACCAGGATGCGCATCTTTCCACTGAGCAGCCGATTGAAGCACTTGTCCATCAGCAGCTTCCCCACTTGGGCATCCACTGCGGCCAGGGGATCGTCGAAGAGGTAGATGTCCGCCTGACGGTAGACAGTCCTTGCCAGGGCAATCCTAGCCTTCTGTCCTCCACTCAGGCTGATGCCACGCTCCCCCACAACGGTGGCATCTCCACGTGGCAGCAGCTCCAGGTCACGCTCCAGCTGGCAGGCATGGATCACCGAACGATAGCGCTGCTCGTCGTAAGACTCTACAAAGAGGATGTTTTCGCGGATGCTGCCCTGGAAAACCCACGGCTGCTGGGCGGCATAACTAATCCGTCCGTGGATCTCCACCCGTCCCTCCATTAGCTCGATTTCGCCGAGAATGGCGTGGAGGAGCGTGCTCTTGCCTGATCCCACGTTGCCGACGATGCCCACAAACTGATCAGACTTGGCATCGAAGGTGATGCCGTGGATATGTGGCCTCCGACGTTGTTTGGTGCTGGGCTTTTCCCAACTGGCGCTCACATTCTTAAAGCTAAGGGATTTCACCTCGCTCTTTACGCAATGCAAACGACCGCGCTTCAATGGTTTCTCCTTCTCCGACTGCATCTCCAGCTGCAGTCCGGGATTGTCCTGGCAGCAGCCCTCCTCCGTGGGCTTCTCGGTCTGTTGCAGAAAGTCCACCACGCGGTTAGCACTTACCAGAGTCTGGGCCCAGGTGGTAATGGCCATGGGCCAATAGTGGAGCAGGGAATCGTTCAATAGACTGTAGTAGGATGAGAGTATGAACACCTTCTTGGCGGTGACGACGTCGCCCACATAGACATAGGCAATGAGGCTGAGGAAGAGCGATATTTTCGATATCATGTTGGTGCACTGCAGTGCCGCATAGATGCTCATCGATCCCCGAATAGCCTTCACCTCCAACTGCCTCACGGCGGCAATCAATCTGCCGAATGACTTCTCCCAGGCATACATCTTGATCACCTGAATGGCGCTGATGATCTCGTTCATCAACTGGACGCGCTCATCCCGATGTTTGGCCGACTGCGATCGGAAGTGAGCGGCTGCCTTGGCCGCCCAAGCCTGGAGGGGAATCAAGACCACAATGAAGGCAATGCCAATGAGGGATGTCCAGCCAATCTGGCGGTACATAATGTACCCAAAGATACAGGCCTCCACGGGTCCCTTCCACAGATCGTGAAAGAAGTAGAAGGTAAGATCGAACTGCGACAGATCGATGGACATCACGGATATGGCCTGGGAGCCCAGCCCCTCACCACTGCTGGCCGAGGCGCGCAGGCACTTCCTGTAGACGAGGCCGGCGCAGGCTAGGCGAATCCGTGTACCCACGGCGAACACGTAGAACATGAAGGGGTGAAAGACCAAGGAGGTGATTAGCGAGCACAGAACGATTCCCATGGCATACAAATAGGCGCTCTCCTTGCTGATGGTCGTCTGTCCCTGGGCAAAATACGAGATTAGGCCGCCCAGCAGCAAAGGCTGAAAGGAACTGCAAAGAAGTATCCCTGTAAAAGCAATATTTTTTTGATAAATTCATATAACTCACTGTATGGCTATCTCCAGCGCTGAGTAGAGCACACAAATGGGCACAAACTGCCAGAAATAGACACGGAAGATCAGGCGCATAAGGCTGGGGCTTTTTTTCCGCGACTCCTGCTCCCAGTGAGGCTGCAGATGCCTGGTTAGTGATTCACTGTCGAAGCTGGGCAGATGCTCGTACAACTCGTTGGCATCCAACTGCTCGCGTCTTCCCTTGGTGAACACATTGCCCATCCACCTGAGAAAGGAGTAGACGAAAGGCACACTCATAAGTTGATGCGATATGTCATATGCTAGGGAAATATATAATCTATTTATCTTCGAAGGGGGACTTAAGGATGACAGACACTGAGCCCTAGCAATACTACGTGCCTATCTACGGGCCATCATAAGCCTAGGAAATGCGTGTGTAGTGCTATTCGTAATATATATTCTCGAAATTCTTTAAGATCGGACAACAAATCTGCGGCACAATTTTGGGGGCACTGATATATAATCCACTCGGTTGGTTATTATCGCTGCTGGCCATCCCGAATATCTTAATTATTCAGTCACTATACCACTTGAGAGCTTATCAAAAACACACAACTTCTGCTATCACAACAATTAAATCAAACGATCCACGCGTTCACTGGTTGACCATGGCCTTGTATATGATTGACTGGCAGATATAATACTCGTTGTTTCCGACTAGGGATTTACACTCTCCCACAGAACACACAACAAAAAGAGAGACATCACGGAAACTCACAGGAAAAGCCATTTGGATATGATGTTTGCTTTGAGGAAGGGATTTGGCTCCCGTTTAAGGTTCGTCTGCTTGGAGGCATCCATTGCTCAGAACGGTTGACGGACTACAAGTGAACCACTTCTGGCCATGACAGCTCTTTTAAATGCTCCCAGACTGTGTCGGGAGCTGTGACGTCAGTCTGCTGAATGTTGGCCCGAGGAGCCACCATCTTATATTATAAGCTTTTGCACTAGGCACAACATGCGACAAGCGATAAAGTAGTCAACCACTTGGCCAGTTCTCCGGCCGCCGGCTAGCTCTTTGATAGTCGTAGATTGATAGTGACTAAGACGTAATCGATGGTTAAGTTGGCCTGCGCTTTTGATGGGGGCCATTAATGTAGTCTGCAGTCGTTTTTAGCTTCCTCTATAAATCTTCGGGGGATTCTGTGAGAAAACTGGATAAATGCCTTTTATGCGCCTTTGTTTTGGCCCACGGTGTGATAAAACCAGGTATCATAGCTCCAAACGTGGCCTTTATGACAGAGCATTTCCCTCGAGGCGGCGCTGTATCCTTATCTTATCGTGCGCAATTATTATGCTACTACTATCATTTTTGGGGCCAAACACGAAACTTGATGTTTGGCCAGCAGTTCAATAGACCCAGATAATACCAGATTGGTTCTTCATTCATGACTAAAATTTTTATGATCTTCAATTAAGAACAAAGGGAATAGATACACAGAGCGTTCCACAGGCCATAGGGGATAAGGCACACGAGTGGTTAATACGGACTTGGAATGCTAAAAGCACACAAATAAAATAGGCTGCAACGAATACTTGTAATTTACGATATATATACAGACAATTTGGGTAAACTTTAGGGCAAATTGTGGAGATCGTGCAGCGTGTAGAGCTGTTCCGTGCGGTCGTAGGCCCTCCGGGTGTTCGCCAGCATTTCCGGCAGCTTTGCAATCGCACTTTGCACATCCTGGCAGACGCGAGTGAGCAGATCCCCACGAGATGGCATCGCATACATGGCCAGGCGGGCGCCCTTTCGTATTAAAAATGCATGATGCTTACCAAGAGTGTCGTCATAGGCCGTTCTGCACACGTTAGCAGTCTTCTCGTCGTTCGGCAGGTCTTGCAGGCGCTTCAGAAACTCGTAGAAAAACTCTAAGATAAGGGAACAAAGACAATCAGCAAAGGTGCCAAATGTTTACAACAACAAAAGCTGTCCAACCAACCAAGGCCACGATGGAGACGCAGTAGAGTGCGGCTACCCGACACATAGCCTTTTTTCGTCAGCAGATTAGCGTCCCTCTCATAAACCAGCATTGCTTTAAAGGTCTCGAAATTTTTCTGCTCCTCAGTATCAGTCTTCCGTAGCTCGTAGAGAATGTCTATTTTGCTGCGAACATCACTGCTCACGAAACCAAAGATGCTGCCCATCAGCTGAAAGAACCTGCAATCATCCCAATAAAGGTAAAAGTGGATGCTTTAAGGACCTCCCGGCTATGCTTACCTCATAATTTCTTCGTAGGCCGCCAGATAGGCATCCAAGAGGACGTCATCTTCTTCCAGGAGACTGCTGGCGAACAGCTCGGCCACCTTATCAATATCGAAGCATTCTGCTGTCTCCTTAGCGGTATTGAGAGATTCCTCCGTGTCATTTTCAGACAGAGTCGGGTTTGGTTCATTAAATTCAGACATTTTAAACAGTTTTTTTTTTTATTGCAGATTGATCAGTGTGACCGATAAAATATACCGTCTGACCCTCACAAATATACCGAAACAGACCGTCTTACTTTAAAAATATACCTTAAATATACTGACGAATTCAAGTTATATTATACATATTCCTCAATTTTGATATTCTGTCGAATATTCCCAACTTTATAGAACATTTAGCCATGCCCATATAATTTTATAAGATTGATGAATCAATTTTCTACTTGACTGGCCTATTCTTAGTACTTGCTTTTATTGGATTTCTATATACCGTTGATTAATAGTTAAATTTAATAGTTTGATGAAATTGACACAAGTATTTTTAAGACCTGGTCACAATATACGGAAATTCAAATTCCAGAATCTTTGCATTTAATTTATATTTATTTGTATATAAGCTACGGAAAAATTACGTTTATGCCGATGAGAGATTACCGCTGCCGCTGCCAGCGCCTTTCTTCGTAGGACGATACGCGATGACATATCGCTGGGCTACGGGCAGAGGCTCCGCATAGCCGTTCATATAGGACGAGTCCTCGAAGAGAACATCATACTCTTCTGTGGCAGTCGCAGGCAGGCGGTGGACAATGGCTTTGTAGAAACAGGTTGTTTGTGGATACAACGCCATCACTACAGTGTCCTTGGGAAACAGAGCGTGACCATCAGTCTCTGGATTGGCACGCATCAGTGGCAGCGGAATAACTTTCCTTTTACTGAGAACATGGCGATCCTTTTGCTCTTCATCAATGTCAATCACATCGTACTTATTTTGGCGATGCAAAAACTGAACCACCTCCGCCAGTATCCAGTTCTCCTCTTCATCGATACCCTTTGCCAAAGCGGCTACGTTGTCGCCCACCTTTCGGGAAATAATCAGACAATATGACTATAAATCATTACATTCCCTTCTCAATAAAGGACTAACTCACCTTGGCCACGTAGTTTCCCTCGGCTGGAATTGCTCCACATAAGGCTGGAGCCCGTTCGCCTGGTTTGCTCACAAACAAAGGCAAAGTTTGGGCAGAGAGCTGCACCATTTTCATGAGTGCTCCGCGACGAATGGCTTCTTTGTTGCCAGCATTCCGAGCTGTGTGAACGGATGATTTAGAACCAGAAACATGGTATCATATCCGCTTGAACTCACCCTGAATGCGACGTTCGTTGCGAATGCTCCGAATTTCGTGGATTTTTGCTAGAGCGGCTCTAATGGTGGCCTCCTCCTGCGAGGTCTCCAACATGCTGGCCTTTAGCAGGGGTTTCACCTTTGCATTGTTTGTCTGAAGGGAACGTACAAGAGTTGAGATGGAGTTCTCTGCCCGGCGACGCTCCTCATCAACAATGTGAATCTGTTGTTGAATATCTTTCAGGCGATCCTACGGGAGATGCATCAAGTTAATTTTATTACTTTCTGTCATTATCTTGGCTTACCTGAATCTGCTGAGCTGCACTCTCTGCAGTTAGTGGCATTTTGTTAATAATTAATATTTTCAATTGTAAATTTTTGTAAACAAACAAAAAGTATCGTCTGAATCGCGTCGGTGCGTGACTATCGCATAACAAAATATCGATGGAGTATTTATATTCTTGTTGGCGGCAAAATCTTCTGCGTCCTCTTCAGGGATATATTTATATTATATACTTTTATGATCAAGTCTTAGTCAATCTAATAAAATTATATGTTTCAGTTTGAGATTATTATCTAGCTAAGATAGATCTGCATAGATCGCCCCTGAACTCAAGTTGTTATCCTATTCAAATAAAGGGGGCTTAAGTGGGCTAAGGGTCGGACCGTATATTTCTTCTCCACAAAACCGCGGTCACACTTTTCCTCTTCTTTTCCGCTGAAGTGTCAAAAACGTAGGTTGCAACAGAAATTTTGTCAATAATAAATCCGGAAAAGCGTTGATTTTCGCAATAAATCGACCAGATCTGGGAGTGATAATGTGTTTCCCGTGCCTTGAAGTATTTGTAATGTGGAATATTTTCTGTTTTCATGCTCCGCCAATCCTTGGATGCTCGGATATTCGCGTTGGAAACATAGTTTGAGATGGCCAAGTCAAAGAATCACACAAACCACAACCAGAACAAGAAGGCCCATCGCAATGGCATCAAGCGCCCCATGCGTAAGCGCCACGAGTCCACCATGGGCGTAAGTAGACAGAATTGGTTTATTTTATATGCGAGCACATATCCTAACCCGGCTTATCTTTTTGAACAGATGGATGTCAAGTTCCTGATCAACCAGCGGTACGCACGCAAGGGTAACCTGTCCCGCGAAGAGTCTGTGAAGAAATACAACGAACGCATCGCCTCGCAGCAGGGCAAGCCCAAGCCCATTACTTTGTAGATTCCAGACAACATCCGATCTTGGTTAGAAGAGAGCCCGTTGTTTAATTAAAGGAAATCAATTTAACGTATGCGCCAACATCTTTATTCGTAGTCAAGTTGATAGTTAATAGTAAATGCTCAAGACTTTGTGGAATGGGATATGTTCCAAGTCCGCCTGATACTGGCGTCTGTAGTCCCAGAGGTACTGGTCAATCACAACAGAATTCACGTTGTCGGGAGAGATTTCTGGATGGTTTTCCTTTAAGGATTTCATCACCTCATCTCTGACCTGCTCGATTATGTATATCGATGCTCCGCGTATCTCCACCTCCATTGGATCTCCGTTCTCCAGAATTGTATCCGATTTGAGCACCTCTAGCAACTCCGGCGTGTACTGCAAGCTGCCGAAGTGCACCAGCACCTGTGGAATACGGTAGTCGGCGAACATGGTGATCTGATCGATGTCGTGGAAAAAGCCCAGACCCTTGCCCCTGTAACAGGACCAGATATCGCCGACAAGTATCTGAGCCCGTTTCAGGATCGAAACGCGCTTTCCCGCAAAGTCTGCCTGGTCCCGGAAACACGGGAATTCCTCGACAATCAGCTCGAGCAGATGCACAGCCGATTTGTCGGCTGCCTTGATCACATTCTCGAAGCGGCCATCGTACTTCTTTAGGAGGCTGTTGCCCACTTCATGGAGACAGTCGAGCCGTTTCTGGATCAGCGGTATCTTTGTCTCGCCGTCGTCCGATCGGAATATATGTTCCACCGTCTTCATGTCGATTTCCGAGTAGAACTTGGCATTCGTCACATTTAAGCCGTCAGCGATGGCCCTTTTAATGGCTGCACAGAGGGCAAAGTATCCCGTGTAGCCATCAACCTTGTATTTGGTATAGTTATCTATGAAAAGATTAATCAGATTGGGTTAGAGATCATTTCATGTGATGGCAAAATTACACACTCGGTGTCCAGAAGCAAAAGTTCAGGGTGTCCAAGACAAAAACCCAGTCAGCGGCTCCTGAATATGCTTCAGGCTTGCTATCGTCCGGATTTGGATGCAGCTCATGTTGCGAAAAGTTCTCCACTCCTATGCGCTTGCTCTGCAGGCCGTCCAGAATCTCCTTGGACAGCTTTTCGATGCCTTCAGGCAGCACTCGAACGTGCTTGGCATGCTGCACGATGTGAGCTCCAGATTCTCGTGGGCTTAGGCTTTTGCTTACCATCTTGATAGTCCTTATAAACCTTGAAAGTATCTTTAAAAAAGGATAAAATTAAAATTTAAAAAATCGTACCCAGTGTGGGTTTAAACAAGGTCGTTATCGGATTTATCTATAAAATATACCATCTGACCCTCAGAAATATACCGCCTCATTTTCAAAATATACCGTAAATATACTGACGAATTCAAGTTCTATTTTACATATTCCTCGTTTTTGTATTCCGTCGAATATTACCAGCTATATAGAACATTTAGCCATGCCCACATAATTTTGTCCGATTAATGAACCTATTTTCCAATTGACTGGTTTATTTTTAACACTTGCTTTTATTGGATCTTGTCTAAAAAAACGTTTTAGAGAAAAAGGTCAAACAAAAACAACGAAAATAGGTATTCCGTTGAGTAATGTTGGCTAAGACCTTTAGCTCTGACTCTCATCGCTGCCCAACACTTACATTCAATTTTTTTGTATAAAAAAACAAGCCAGCAGCAGCTGACGTCGGTGTCGCGATATAATGACCCAAAAAACGAATTAAATGGCTTAAGCTGGTTATAAAACCAAAGAAAGCGTCCTGTGAGATTGTGTAATACTCCCTGTCCATCTGTATGTCAAGTATTTACTAACCAAAAAGTGCGAGTTCGTTATCAAAACACACACAAAAGTCGTGCCGTGAAGGAGTCGTTTTTAAGCAAATTAGTTTCTCTTCGTGACACCTTGTTTAACCTAATCTAAGTTTGTGAATGCATTAAAAAGTATACGAAAATATCACTCGCAGACGTACTATTTCAACACCCAAAAAGTTCTTTGTGCTGTGAACAAATATTTTATCGACGTTTCAGTTTGCCATCAACACAAACAGACACACACACTCTTCACGCGTTCATTACATACACAAACGTATGTACATATGTAAGGGCGCTGAAGATACAGATACACGTGCGCTCAGCTGTGCCCCCCACCCAAATGACGCCTGTTTTCATTCAAGTCTGATCCTGCACAAATCGCGACACTTTGAGACTGAGAAACAACGACACACTGCTCTGCAACGAGATTCATTCAACAGGTGAGCCCGAGTACCCCTACATTGCGTGGACTGAGCATAAGTAAGAATCCCTCAAAGATGTCCAGTAGTTGCCGTAATGGTTATAAATAATATTTCGTATAATTTCGTTTTTAGACACCAGCATTCTGGTAATTATCATAGCTGTAGTGTGCTGTCGCCCAAAGTGCTAATTAATTTGCACAATCCTACTGAGATCTGTAGAATCATTCAGTCAGACTCTTAATTAGTTCGCTAGAATACATATGTATATCCCGTTTGGTATTGTTCTTGACTATAGTATACATATTCGAATATGTGCATATGTATGTGTATAATAAGTAGTTTACATAAATATATTTAAAGACCTAGAACTTGCAGAATCATCTACTGTATACCCACACAGACTCGTATTTATTTTTATAATATTCTCGGGTCTATTCCAATATGTGTTTTCTTCTAGTTTTTGTCACTATTCGCCAATTAAATGGCTTTAGACAGGAAGTAGGTATTTTCCTTTATCCACTATAGCCTTCTTACTTGCTTTATTTGTAATCTGTCATAATTGAAGAGTATATTAATATCGTAGTGCTCTGCAATAAGACATTCATTATCTCTCCCGTTATCGTGCACTTCACCCGAAAGGCTGGCAGTAAGCTTGACACTCGAATCCCAGCAATCGAAATATAATATCTTTCAGTGCATTCCGTTCTCGATCATCATTAAGTTGCCGCTCGTCACTTATTGAATGCTCATCAGCTGTCAAGTGTTAATTTGTGCCGATTATATTCGTATCTATAATTTTTCCATGCCAAGCAATGGACTCCAAATCTGTAAAGGTAATTGAAATCTTCTAATTCACTGTATCACAAATCGACGCTAATTTGCCTGATAAACGATGTCAAATCAGACGCTTCTTGCCAATTATTGAACGCCTTCGCCTGGGCCTCAGTTTGTTTTCATATCGGGTCGTTACCTGACGCAGAATCTTGGCCAGTGAAGTCCAAGCTAAGCTTCAAAATTACATTGTAAAGCATTGTAAAGTGTACAACATGGTGGAGAGTGTTCCGGTCTACTCCATTTCGCATTTCATGGAAATGCGTTCGATAGGGCCATCAAATGACGAGGGCCGCATATCTAAAGAACAAGTGAGTGAAATGATACAAAAGGAGAACTTGGATTCAAAGGTGCTCAAAAGAGAATCTTTCGGGTGATCTTGCACCCGGTCTCCGAAGATACATTCTCAAGGAAGCAGGCATGTCGATTGTACCCTTTAGATATTCCACTAAATATCACAATCGTATAGAATACGAGTTGTTACCTCGGTGAACACTCTGTTATTAGATCCCGTTTGTGTATATTCTCCAGAAAGCGTATGAAACACTTCGGCATGCCCAAACACAGCCTTGTCTTAGTTTTTGTTTCCATTTTGACATTACCCTACATTCCGGCATCACGTGCACACACACACACACACCCACTCAAGTTCCCACGAACACACGCACACATTGTTAACAAACGGTATTATTTTGGGTTGCAATTTCTCATTTTATCAAAAACAAAATAAATAAAACAAAAACTGAAGGAAAACCACGAGAGAGGGCGAGAGCACGAGAAAGAGAGTGTGTGCGAAAGTTGTTGCTGTTGTTCCTCTCTTTCTGCGCCATCGGTTACAGTTAGTTTTCCAGCAGAGTGCGCCGCGTGCGCTCCACTCACCGACTAATCGCCGCTTTTATATTCCAAATAGATTATAGTCGGGCAATTTGCATTTCTCTAAAGCTAAACAATATACTACGTGTTTACCTATACACATACCCGTAATCCGTAATCACAGACGAATCAGAATCGTTCCGGGGAGATGCTCCTCAGTGCTGCGGTGTCTCTGTCTCCGTCTGGGCGGCCCTAAAACGGGAAACGATAGTCGCGAGTAAATATTTGGCCCGGGGCTTAAGTCCAGTGACACGCTGTAAACTGATAATAAAAGTGTACTAAAAGAGTTACACACTCCACTCCCGTGGTATTGGAGGTGGTTCCAGGTTGCCAATAGAAGGAGAGAGGGAGAGAGAGAGAAAGAGCCGGAATGAAGCGCACACCCAAATTGCACGAGGTGGGGCGGGCCTACTCGGAGATGTCGCCCCTCAATCCGGACTCTCCGCCTGCACCGGTGGCCAGTACCAGCGGCTATGGCAGCATTTTTCCCTTCGGCCTGCTGCGCGGCTCCTTCGGTCGCGGCGGCAATGCTGCGGTACAGGTGGGTTCTGCCAGACGACAAAGTAAAGCTTAATCGCCCCGTCATCCGTTCTATATGGTATATGGGGGAGACTGACTGCTTATCGGGTTTCCCACTACAGATGTATGTACTGTACATACTCGTATTGCCTGAAATGAGATTGTTTTACCGATAAGTAAGCAGACGGCGGGGCATATGGTTGGCATGGTATGGTTTCGTTCTTTATATTTTATCGGGACGATTAGTTAAGGCGCCTCGAATCGTACATACCCTTCAACATACGTCATACCCCTACATGACATATATTTTTATAATCTTTACGGCATGCCGCCCCAAAGTATGCAACGCTAAAAAGTGATTTACTTTAGGCGCTCGAAATGGCGGCAATTCAAATGCAACAGAAAAACGAAACCCTTCACGCGATCAATGATACGGGGAGAGGCTTTTCCGTTGTGCACTCTATTTTTTTGTGGGATGCATTTATCTGTCTATCTAAATCTAGATATTCCTATCAGATACAGTAACTTTTGAAATTCCATTCATATTCTGTTCATCCCTTCCGGTTTCAGTCCGATTCTATTTGTCTTTTTGGGAGGAAACGAAATTAAGAAAAGGTAATTAGCAGCACCATACTTTTCCATTGTCTTTGTTTATTAGGAAGCAGCCGCAGCAGTAATATCTTTGCGTGGTGTTCCTTTTAGTATCCGCGGCTTATCTGAATAGGTTTATCGGTGCTGTTTGCTCAATTAATGAAAACTAAATAGAATAAGGCGGATCGGAACGTTTGGTGGGCCAGAGGCAACATTTATATATGATGCTACCCCATTGGGGCGCCGACAGTTCATTGAAGGCGCCTTTGCCAAGCAGTCGATGCGCAGCTTCGGGAATTAATAATCTGCATACATATATATCTCTTCAATCGATATCGAAATCGGCCTTCAAAACGGAACTAAACGGCGAAAGTTTGGCGAAAATGTTCAAGGCCCGCTTAAAGACGAGTCCCAGCGGCGGGGGTGAGGTGTGTCTTCTATCTATCTATCTATCTATCTGTTATTTATATCTGTTGTATGACAATTAAGAAAGCAAGTAAGAACTTTATAGTCGTGCTGGCGCCCTCCATTATCTGTCTAAAACGAGCTGACAGTCCTGACATGTGACAGAGAAAGCCCCAGGAGAATTAAAGAATCAATCTCTGTTATCAATACTATGTCCATCCTTTGTGTTATAGGAAATGCTTATGCATAGAATAGATCCATACAGAAAGTGTGTGCAAGTGGAAAAAAACCAGAAAATAGCGGAATCTAGATATAGGAATCTTGCATCAGTCAATCAATTTGGATTCATTAAGAGGCAATGTCTCTCCATGTTGTTGTTGTTGTTGCTCCCCCAATCAATAGCATTTCAGGCGTTCATCGATCGAAATCAATTGGAAGATAAAAACTGCCTTAGAACGCAAAGCTTTAGATAAGTAAATATGTGATGATGTACTAACCATCGTAGATGCACACAGATACATCCCAGGATACATCCCCCGATGAGATAAGCACCCCCATTCATTTCAACATCTTCGAGTGTCGTACAGCGAAAACCCACCGTCATGGGGAAAGATGGGAGGGCACACAAGCCCCCAAAGAAGAAGGCCGCAACGATGTTGAGTGGAATCGAAGAAGTACCACCGCCCGAGGCAGCCCCAACTCCAACGGCAGCCGGTGGAAGGGCAAGGGGAACCAGCCCCCATCCCCCGGCTAGTGGTGGGACCATTGCGGCTTTGGTGAGCGGCTTGCACCACTCGGGGGCACGTGACATCCAGTCGCTGCACCAGCCACTGCTCGAATGCGAGGAGCGGGCCCTGGCCATCAAGCAACACCTCAGAGGGCATCGGGGCCATGGCACTGAGGCGTCGCCCCACGAGTCCATGCCGCGATTCATAGTCGATATCGAGGAGGAGCCATCGGAGTCGTCGCAGAGTATTGGAGGGCAGGAACACCAGGATCAGGAACACCCAGAGCAAGAGCATAGTGGCGGTGGCGGTGGCGGTGGTGGTGCCGGCGCGAGCTCCTCTCGACGCTTCAGTCACTTCAATCTGGCCCTGCGACGTTTCTCCCACATCCATGTCCATGTAAATGCACACCAACGATCCTTGCATTCTTGTTCTCCTTGTTGTTCTTGTCACGTTTGTTGCTCTGCTGCTTTGACCGTAACCCCCAACCCCCAACCCCTAACGTTAACCGTAACCCGCAACCCCGAACCACGCACTTACACCCATGGGATCCCCGCATAATAAGCAGAATATGCAGAGAAAGAGAGAGAGAGAAATGTTCCCCGAGGAAAACCAGTATATATCGGATCTAAAAATAAACTTCTTGTTGCTTGCTGCTGGCTGCTGACTGCTGGCTGCTTGCTGCAGCTTATGGCTTTACTAAAACGAATGAAGAGGCCACTAATGCTGCAAGAATGGTCTGTTCTTCGTTTCTTCAGCCTTTGTTCTGCCTCTGTTCTGGCTTCAAGTGGCTGGCTTTCCTCTCCTTTCCTGGGAAGTGTCAGTGGCTCATGAGGCTGATTACGAGTGTTGGCTGCCTCTTGACTGGAGGGCCCATTAAGTGACACGCGATTCTATTGTGGGTCGAGTCCAAAATAAACCAACTCAATCGCTCATTAAGTGTCTCCCCGATATCAGAGACTGTCCATCTCTGTCGCGATTCTCAAGTGTCGCGAACGAGTGCTCTGTGGGGGGGAAGGAGTTTCATTAGCCTAATGGAAGCCATAAACTATAAAGAACATCGATGTAATTACACGTGCATTTCACTCGAATGCGGATGGCTGGTCATCGGTTGGCCTTCTGAGAGCATAAATTAAAGTGAAACTCTTTATGCAAGGCAGCGGCTCTTGGACTCTTGAGACTTAGACCACAAACAAAACCAGCCACTGACCAGTCCGCTGGCTGGTCAATCAGTTGTGGTGCAACGCTCGTGGCAGCAGCAGCGGCAGCACCAGCTGCGGGTCAACAAAATAATAATACCAAAATTGGCAAACAAGTTCCTCTAAGTGCGAGTGCGAGTGGTTTTTCTGGCCAATTATATGCGACACGAAACGGCATTTCCATAGAGCGTGGAGTGTGGAGTGTGGAGCGTGGAGCACACCTACCGACTGCCACCCCATGGCTGATTACAGTGGGACGGAGATGACTACTTTTGCGTGCAAACCCCATTCTCACAGCAGCAGCAGCAGCGGCGGCAGCAACGGCAGCAACGGCAGTGGATGATAAGCGCCCCCCCACCACACATCACGCGTCAGACGGGACCCGACCAGGGAGCTACTAAGGCGGCACTACGGAACAGTTGCTGCATTCGACTCGCTTCGCATTCCCCAAGAAACGCTCAAGAAAACCTAAACGCTCGCGCCGCACGGAAGCACGGGAGCACTGGAGCACGGGAATTAATTAACTGCCAATTAATGAAGCGGCAAAAAGAGAAAGAAGAATATTTGCTTATTAATATTATGCACATACCGTACCCGTATGCACTTGGTGGTGCACTGGATGCCAGTTCTCGCGAGTGATTCTGCTACTGTTTTTTTCCTTCTCAATTGTGTGATTTATGTGATACTGTGACAAATGAAGAGCAGAATTTCCATGTTTGTGCAGTCGCTGGTTTTATCAGCTTGACGCAGCACGTACCGTCGTACCGTCGTACCGTCTCCGCTCGTACACCGCGACCAAACAAAACAGAGCTAATTAATCAAATAGAGACAAATTCAAGAGCAAATTTAATTGCCAGACACAGCAAAAGAGCAATCATGAAACTATCCAAAAGCTTCGATGAGTTGATCTTGAGCGCCTCGCGGCTGAGCCTCAATAATCTGCGATCGCCAGGCAAGAAGAAATCTAAAAATGTAAAGTATACTCGAACTCGAACAGTAAATAATACCCATAGATTAAAGAGCATATTGGTTTGGTTGCATTCTGCAATCCATTGAAAATTTGGTTAAACATTTCCCAGCAAAAGGAATTCAATTGAAACTACAACAAAATATACAAATATTTTAATAATTTAATAAACTTTAAACCATAATGAAAGAAGTACAAAAATATGGGATATCACAAAAGCAGAATGGATTCTGTGTGTATTCCTGACAATACGATGCTTAATATATCTTTGAGAATACCTATCACAGATTTTCCATTAATCAATAACAAATTAGAACTCTTTTAATGGGTATCTGGTCTAATATTTACCCAATCGTCTGTCTGGCTACGCATTTGCTATGCCCGAATGCATTTTAACACCTTCTCTCGACTGTAACTGAAAACTAAACCACAATCAAGGCAAATCTCAAGCTAAAAATGAGAGACTCTACAGAACACCCTATGTGCCATACTCGCACATATTTGTTTAATCGAACATTTCACCTTTCATTGCGATTGAAAGAGATGTTGACAAAAATAAGGAATGAAATGAAGTGAAATAAATTAATTTGAAGCCCCTGCAGTGCGTGAGTGGTGGTGAATGGCATTTGTTCAAATAGCAAATACGACAATCTGTGGCATTATCACACTACCTGTCCAGATCTACGCCTAAATGGGCTATCTGTTTGCGGCGGGGCTTATGGGATCAAACGATGTCTAGGGACTCACGTAGACGCCCTC